TAATTAGAAGGGTTAATTAGGGCGGGAAATTCGAAAAAATCTGAAAAAAAATCAATAAAAAAGCACACACTGGGAAAGGTTGAAAGGGTATTAGTCGAGGTAGGGAAAATTGAAATTATTCAAAAAAAAAAATGCAAAATTAGTGACAAACTGAGGGAAAATGGACATAGTGGGGGGTGGAGATTACGGTGGTTTTTTGATCTACCTGCGTTTCTGGCAGAATTGACGTTGTTGCTGCGATGATTCGTCGCCGCTCGTTTTTCGATGGTTTCCTGGAAATTTGAATTTTGAAAAAAATCGATATTTGGGATTTTTAGATTCCCCATAAAATTTCCGCCCATTTCCCACCCATATTAACCTAGTTTAGCGAGATTCGTGAATTCTGAAGTCTGAGCAATGTCTTCTGAACTCAGAATTCGATTTTTTCCAAACTAGGTCAGTATGGGTATCAATATGACGGAAATTTTAAGGCGACTCTTTCTAACGTCGTGAAAGTCCTCAAAAATCAAATATGAAGATTCTGTGTCTGGAAATTTCTCGAAAAAAAAATCAGAAATTCTCAACATTCCGAAAGAATTTTTTAAAAGTAATTTTCACAACGTTAAAAAGATTCTTTATGAAATTTCTTTTAAAATGATACCCATATTGCCCTACTTTGATCAAATTTCGGATTCTGAATTCAGAAGACATTGCTCAGGTTCCAGAATTCACGAATCTCGCGGAACTAGATCAATATGGGTATCAAAATGACGGGAATTTCATGGCAAATTTTTCTAACATCGTGAAAAACGCCAAAAAAGGAAGTGTTCCCAAATTTTGAGAATTTTCGATTTGAGAATTTCGCAGTCAGAGCCTTCATTTTCGATTTTTCGGTTTTTCGTATAAAATTCTTACTATTCTCCTCTTGCTCCCGATTCCTGGGCACAATCGTAATCCTTCCAGCCAACCTTCCGGTGTTCGATGTCTCCAGATTACTGTACTCCATGGTGTCATCATCCCTATCATCATGCTCTCCACGGTATCGTCGTGGCGCCTCTTTTTTAGTAGATAAGCTCTCCTTTTGACGTCTTCCATGATGATTCTCGTCGTTTGTGGCAGCAACTCGGGACTTCTGGTACATGACTCGTGGATTGTAGGAGCTTCCACTTCTGATGGATGTAGGCGTTCGTTCTCCACTTCTAAGCTCCTCTTCTGGATCGTCTTCCGGCTCCTTCTCCTCTGCTATAGATCCCCCAAACGAGGATTCTCTGTCACTTTCATCGTAGTTTCTCCGGTTTCTTCGATTCTTCCGCGGTGATCTCTCTCCTGGCTGGTCTTCTGGACCATTTGGGCCTCCTCCTCCGCCGCCGCCTGCCTCTCCTCCTCCTCCTCGAGCTCCTTCTGCATCGCAAACTCATTCTCCACCTCTTTACTCCAGTCCATCGATGCGAAATTCTGCAAATTCTGGCACATCTCCTCAAAGCTAAACGCTTCGCCCAGGGAATTCATGGAGAAGGACGATGCTCCACATTGGGATGCCGAGTCGAAGGAGGTGTCGATGTGGAGCTGGGTGTTGTTCGCTGGCATTTCACTCTGCGTCGAATTTATCGAATCGTTTCGTTGTCGTCGTGTGGTTGTTTGGGGTCTTCTGGCGATGGCACCATCGCCACGCATTGATGCGCGTTCCGAGAAGCCGCGGGAGGATTGCTGAAAAAAACCATTTTTTTTGTTGAAAGTCTTCGAAATTCCGATTTTCAGCAATTTTCACGACGTTAAAAATATTCGCTATGAAATTTGCTTCGAAATGATATCCATATTGACCTAGTTCAGAGAAATCGATGGATCCAGAAGTCAGAAGACTTCATATATCAGATTTCGTCTTATCGTGGCAACATTGGTATCAAATTGCTGGAAATCACATGGGAAACACTTTTAACGTCATGGAAAATCACTAAAAATGAAGATTAACACATTTGAAGAGTTGGAAAATGAGGGATTTCGATTTTTCTCTCCGGAACTCAAGTTTCCAAAATTTTCCTTGCGTTAGAAAGATTCGCCATGAAATTTCCTTTAAAATGATGTCTATATTGCCTTAGTTCAGACAAATTTCGGATTCTGAATCCAGAAGACATTGCTCAGATTTCAGAATCCAAAATTTGTCTGAACCAAGCCAATATGGGTATCAAAACAACGCGAATTTCAAGACAAATCTATCTGACGATGTGGAAATCCAAATCAAGAATGAAGATTCTGTCTGGAAATTCTCAAGATCGAAAATTTTAAAAATTTCGAAATCTTTAGTTTTCATTCATTTTCACGACGTTAAAAAGATTCGCCATGAAATTTGCTTCAAAATAATGTCCATATTGCACTAGTTTAAACAAATTTTGAATTCTGAATTCAGAAGACATTGCTCAGACTCCAGAATTCTCGAATCTCGCTGAACTAGGGCAATATGGGTTTCAAAATGACGGGAATTTCATGGCAAATCTTTCTAACGTCGTGAAAATTCTCAAAAACGAAAAAATTTCTATGAAAAATCAATTTTCGAAAAAAAAAATTTTTTCATAATTTCTAATTTCGCTCCCTTATTTTTTCCTTTCTAATCTCTCACACTTTCCCGGTTTCCACCATTAAAATGCCCATTTTCCCGTCACTTTTAACACCAAATTAACCCAATTTTAACGCCTTTTTAATCACTTTTATCACTCAAAAAACCGGTTATCCGGTTTTTTACCGTACATAATTTCGTTCGAACGGTTGTGATTGCTGATTTCTATGATAATTGGGATTCGGATTCTGGAATCTTCCGCCGCCACCGCCATTTCTATGGTGATTCGATCGATTTCCATGGCCACCGCCGGACCCATTATACTCCATATAGCCACCATGTTGTCGAGTGTCGTACAGCGATTGCGTCGAATTCTGAGAAAAACAAATAGCGGGAAATTTGAAATTTTAGGCAAAAAATTGTTTTTTCTTTGAAATTTTCTGGAAAATTCAATTTAGCCAAATTTCTATAACTTTTCATTCAAAAATAGCTCATTTTCAGCTCCATTTCCGTTTATTTTCCGCGCCGGAGGGTGCGGCAAAAGTGGGCGGAGCCTGCAGGATGCTGCCAATTTTTGGGGTTTTTCGAGCTTTTTAGGCTTAAATTTGGGTTTTAGGAGGACCGTTTTAGACATCTGAAAACAATGAAAATGGTGTCGGAAATGGAAAAATAGGTGAAAAATGGCTATTTAATAATCATTTTTCTGTTTTTTCGCGCTTTTTTTTGCTGGAATTTTGGGTTTTTAGGTATTTTCAGACAGCTAGAAACAGAAAAACAGGTGGATCAGTTTCAGAGAGCTAGGCTAAAAATTCATTTTTTCAGAAAACATTGCCGTTTTGGCGATTATTTTTTGCCGAGATTTAGGCTTTTTACAGCAATTTTTCGGCTGAAAACAGCTAAAGATATGTGAAAAATGGAAAAAAAACTAACATAATTCGAATTGCCGCCAGCAGCAGCACCTCCTCTGCCCTCAAATCGATTTCTTCCCCTCTCATTCATGACCATCGCGTCTGGAGTGGTACTTCCAGACCCGCCACGTGACGTCACACTATCCGTATCATTGCTACGTCTTCTGGACGCATTTCCAGAAGACGTCGTCGTCAATTTTTCTGGTCTCGGAGGCCTGTCGTCGTTCGCTGAGAGGTTTTTCGTGCTCCCCGAGCCTTGACGAAGGGCTCCAGGCCGATAAATTTGAATTTCGGGGCGTGGTTTCCTAGTTTTCGGTACTACTGTGGTGGGAGGAGGCGGAGCTTCTGATGTTGTTGTGTCTCCAATCATTATGAGGGGGCGAGCGGGCTGGAAAATGGGTTTTTTGGGTCAAAAACGCTACAAAATAAGGGGAAAAATTCAGAAAATACGACGATGAATCGTATAAACATGACAAAATTGGAAATTTTCTCAATGGAGCGCATTTTTTAGAAAAAAAAATGATAAGAAAAAATCCAAAAATCGGCTAAAAACGACCAAAAAAGCGGAATTTTTGAAATTTTCTCAATGGAGCGCGTTTGCGTGAATCGCGGTATTTAAATTTTTATGAAAAAAAAACACGGAAATTTCGAAAAAAATTGATGTTTTGAATCAATTTTTTCCGGAAAAAAGCAAAAAAAAATTTTTTTTTCGAAAATTTGAAAAAAAAATTGTTTTCGATTTTTCTAATTTTCCGGGGGATTTTCAGCACTTTTTAACTGCATTAACATTGAAAATTGGAGCTCAAAAACCCTCCAGAACCGTCGTTTTTCAAGACATTCCCAAAAATTCCAATAGAGCGCGTTTGCATTAAAATCCGAAATCTCATCCTAGCAGCAGGGGAGGAATTGCTAAGGATAAAGGGAGTGAGATAAGCCAAGATTATCAGGATTTAGTAGAGGAAACCCTCCCATTAAAATTGATTAAAACGGATGAGATGGGCGCGGAAAGTGGGCGGGGCTTATAATGATAATGAGAAAAGTGTCAAAAATGCATGTTAAAATCTTAAAAATCAGAAAAAAAACACATTCTAGAAGTTTTTAAATTTTGAAATATGAAAAAAATTCAAAAAAAAATTTTTTTTTCGAATTTTCAAATTTTTCAAAAAAAAAAAATTTTCCAAATTTTTTTTGCAGTTTTGTTCACAGTGAAATCTGTCTCTCCTTCTTTACTAAAACGTTCTCAATGTGTGTGTACTTTTTGCCGTCTCGTTGTATTTGATGGGTGGCTAATCAAACATTCTCTCCGAAACATTTAGCTTAACAACAGCACAAAATTGATAAGAAGAAGACACAAAAGATTTTTCTATTTGCTTCAGTTTGTTCGAATTTTTCGAAAAAATCGCGGAAAAAAGTATAAAGGATATTAAAGTTTCATAAAACCTCGATTTTTCCGATTTTTTCGGCGAAATTACACAAAAATCAAGAACAATTGTGTAGAAAAACATAGAAAATGGGTCGGAAACGCGAAAAACTTTTTAAAATGTCGAAAAAAGCATGAAAATCGGCCAAAAATGAGTAAAAATCGCCGAAAAATCATGAAAAAATTCCGGTGGCCTAGAAAATGCGAAAAGTTCGGCCAACGGTAACAATTGCAATTTTTACTTGTTTTTCCGGCGGAAAGAAGAGTTTTTCTGCTAGGTTTTTGGCTATTTTCCACGAATTTACAAGCTTTTACAGGGAAAAATCTCCATTTTAAGAAATTTTTTAACTGGAAAACTAAATTTTATTGAGAAAAATCAGAAAAAATACGAATGGCCTAGAAAGTGCAAAACTTCGGCCATCGGTAAAAAAGGCAATTTCTACAAGATTTTTTGGCGGAAAATGGTTACATTTGACTCAATAAATTGGAAAAAGACAGAAAATTTGAAAAAAAGAAGCGAATTTTTCTTGCACTTTTCCGATTGATTGCTAATCACTAAAAATTATCACTAGAATTTTACAGACAAAGAAACTGAAAAAAGATCAGTTGGGTGATAGTGAGAGCCTCTCCTCTCGTAGTATAAACACGTGCATTGTAACAATTCAAAAGAGAGAAAAGAGAAAAAAAGTGATATAAGAGAGAAAACAGGCAGAAAAGACCAAGGGAGGAGAGAGAGAGGAGGAGACGCAGAGAAATGGGGAAGTGAGGAGACGCAGAAGAGAGGTGGAAGGGCCTTGGGAAACAGCAATTAAGATGGTTTTTCCTGCAAAAAATGAAGAAATCATGTTATTTATATAGACTAGTCATCAAAAAATACCCTGAAAATGTCTAAAAAGAAAAACAAAAAACAATTACACCAAGCGGAATAGAACCAAAATCCTCTGGAACAACAGTCAAACGCACTATCCACACGGCTACCGGGCCTCGTTGCCGACATTGTTGGCAATGGCACCTATAACGGAGGTGCCACAGGGAACTGTGTGGAAGAGGTCAGTGGTCCGATGAGGGAGGGGAATCTGAAAACTTCGAGAATGGAGGTTTTGAAACTTCACTTTTTGTAATTTTTAGCAGGTTTTTCAATAAAATTGTTAGTATAAATGCCTGAAATTGTCCCTTCTTTTTTTTCGAAAAGTTTTTTTTTTTTGATTTTTCAGCTGAAAATCGCTTTTTCAAAATTTTAGGTTTTCCCAGGTCCCAAAGCTCTTCTTTCCATGTATCCGAATTATGCAAACATCAAATACCCGTTATTATAAGTATTGCGAAATCCTTTGAAACATTGCGAAATTGCAAAAATTCCTCCCTTTCTTTCCGAATAGCCCGCATTATTTGTAGTGTTTTTCTTTGCAAAAACCTTCCCAAATTCCATTTTTATTGGCTGAAATTATTTTTTAGCAAACAGTTTTCAGCAAAAAAAATTCGAATGTCTCATAAACTTTTTTCACTGACTAGAATTTTCTGAAATTTAGGTCACATTTTTCTCAATTTTTTAAAAGTATCCTCCCGAAATTTTAGCTCTTTACCTCAATTTTTAAACGAGTTACAGCTAGTTTTATATCTGCACAAGACCCTTTGGTGGTACGCAATATCCCGTAAGATCTTGCGCTTGGTGTTTGCGGACTTCCAAATTTTCCGCCTAAATCCGGCTCTTTTTTCCGCGCATTCCGGCTCAATCTTCTCCGATTTTCCTCATTTTTTCACTTTTCCAAACAGAAAAATATGGAGAATTCGATTTTCAGACAATTTCGCACGATTAAGCGCAAAAAGTGAACCGAAAATGCCGCCGAAAAAAGGAGGAAAGAAGAATAAGGATGATGATTGGTATTTGACAGTTTTTCATGGGGTTTTAACCGAATTTTGGGTTTTTTCAGGGACGATGATGCAGCGGAGAAGAAATTAGCCGCGTTGAACATCGGCGGTGCATCTGAAACCAATTGGGACGATGAGGAGCCGAAGAAAGCTAAAGCTAAGGCTAAGGCGCCCGCTAAGAAGGGTTTTGCCGCATTTGTAAGGGGAAAATTATTTTTAAGGCAAAAATTTGATTGTTACAGCTCGATGAAGATTCTGAGCCCGAGCAGAAGCCATCCGACGACGATGAGCCGGCTCCAGTGGTGAAAGAAGTGAAAGAGGCCATTCCAGCTCCAAAAAAAGAGAAAAAGGAGAAGAAAAAGGGAGGAAAGAAGGGAAAGAAAGAGGAAGATGATGAGGATCTGGATGCTCTTCTAGCCTCTATTGAGAATGCTCCAGCTGCCGCAGAAGTTGCCGCTGAGGAAGAAGGAAAGAATAAGAAGGATAAGAAGAAGAAGAAGGAAAAGGCTCCAGAACCAGCAGAGGAACCCAAAAAATCGACTTCCGAGACTCCAGAACCTTCTCCAGAGGCCCCGGAATCCTCAGAAAAGGCAGAGCCAACAGAAGAAGGTGGGGATGATAAGGAGAAGGAGAAGAAGGATAAGAAGAAGGACAAGAAGAAGCAGAAGGAAAAGGAGAAGAAGGAGAAGGAGAAAGAGGATAAGAAGGGCCAAAAGAAGGGCACCTTATCGCTGATTAAGGAGATGTTGAAGAAGCAGCAGGAGGAGAGAGAGGAGCAGGAGAGACTTCAGAAGGAGCAGCAGGAGCGGGAAGCACAGGAGGAGTTGGAACGGCAGGAGAGGGAGAAGGCGGAGAAGGAGGTGAGGCTAGATTCAAACTCTGAAAGTTGCATTTTTCAGCTTCAAAATGACCTATTTTAGAGGCGAAAACGACAGTTTTGAAGCTCTAAAAGTGGTATTTTTGACCTGAAAAATGTCTAGATTTCGAGCTGAAAATGGAAATTTTGGTTTCAGAATGTCGTATTTTGGGACCGAAAATGGCTATTTCAAAGCTTAAAAAACGTGACTTTCACCTGAAAAATGACTATATTCAGAGCTGAAAATCGAATTTTCGGCTCCGAAATACCGTATTTCAGTACTGAAAACCGACTAGATTCGGAGCTAAAATTGTCTATTTCGAAGTCAAAAAAGTCGAACTTTGGCTACAAAATATAATAATTTACATCCTGAAAATGGACATTTACGCTTCAAAATACCCGATTCCTGAACTAAAAATGTCTATTTTAAGTTCTAAAAATCGCATTTTTGGCCGCAAAAATACCGTATTCCAGATCCGAAAATGCTTAATTTTTATGCTGAAAATGACAATTTAGAGGTTAAAAAAGTGGAATTTTTGGCTTCAAAATGGCTATTCTAAGGTTTGAAAAAAAAACAGCACTTTAACCCCAAAATTACCTATTTTAAAGCTGAAAATTCTCATTTTTAAGCTTGAAAATCGCTTTTTCAGCGCAAAGAAGCCCAAAAAGAAGCTAAAAAAGCGGAAATTGAGCGCCAAAAAGCCGCTGGAACCTACGTGACGGCTGCTCAGAAGCGTCAGCAAGCTCTAGCTCTCGAGAAGCTTCGTGCCGCCGGCTACACAGTTCCAGCACCAAGAGACTCCACAGAAGAGGAAGGAGCGCCGAAGAAGTCGTTCGTCTATGTGGATGAGAAGACAAAGGCCAAGCAGGAGGAGAAGAAGAGAAGAAGGCTGGAGAAATTGGGACAGTTGCCAGTGGAGAAGCAGGAGGAGGAGAAGGTGGAGAAGGCAGAAGAAGCTCCAGAATCTCCAGAAGCCGTGACGCCGGAACAAGAGAAGAAGGAGCTGACTCCAGAGCCTTTAGACGATTGGGAAATGGCAGATTCTGGAGATGAGGTTGCTGAGAAAGGAGAGGAAAAGAAAAAGCCCGAGAAAAAAGCTGGCGCTGCTGTCGTCAAGGAATCTGTCGACGAAGAAGAATCCTCAGACGAAGAATCAGATGAGGAGACTTCAGAAGAAGAAGAATCCTCGGAAGAGGAAGAGGAGGAGGATAATCGTGGCCAACGAGAGACCAAGGAGCAGATCATGGAGCGAGTAAAGGCTAGAATCGCGAGAAGAAAGGAGCTAGCCGCATCCAAAAGATCTACAGACGACCTGAGATCCCCGGTAATCTGTGTCCTGGGACACGTCGATACTGGAAAGACCAAGATGCTAGACACCATCAGAAGAACCAACGTTCAACAGGGAGAAGCTGGAGGTATCACCCAACAGATTGGAGCGACAGAAGTGCCTGCGGAGGCCATCAAGGAGCGATGCAGACAGGTCAGAGGATTCCTTCAAGATCAGATGAAGATTCCGGGATTCCTCATCATCGATACGCCGGGTCACGAGAGCTTCTCGAATCTTCGTACTCGTGGATCATCGCTCTGTGACTTTGCGATCCTTGTAGTGGATATTATGCATGGGCTAGAACCCCAAACCATTGAATCTCTGAAGCTTCTTATCAAAGGAAAGACTCCCTTCGTTATCGCTCTTAACAAGATTGATAGGCTCTATGAGTATGAATCCAACCCTCGGAAGGATGTCTACGAGCTTCTGAAGTCTCAAAAGCCACGGGTCCAAGCGGAATTCAAGGAGAGAATGGACAAGATTATTGTGGAATTCGCCGAGCAGGAGTTGAATGTGACACTTTCCAATAATACTAAGAAGGCTGAGGACTCGGACTATGTTTGTATGGTTCCGACTTCCGCAATGTTGGGAGATGGAATTGGCAATTTGATGGCGTTCATTGTGAATCAGACACAAACGAAATATGCGCAGAAATTGGCATTCTCAGAGGAACTAGATGCCACTGTAATGGAGGTTAAACAGATTGCTGGTGGGTTTTTGGAATTGAAAATGACCTGAATTGAGCTTAAAATGGCCGAATTTTGAATTTTCACATTGTTAGAAAGATTCGCCATGAAATTTCCTTTAAAATGATGCCCATATTGACCTAATTCAGACAAATTTTGGATTCTGAATCCAGATGACATTGCTCAGACTCCAGAATTTGCGAATTTCGCTAAACTAGGCCAACATGGGTATCAAAATGACGGGAATTGTGCGCCAAATATTTCTAACGTCGTGAAAATCGCAAATAATGTGTTTTCGAAGACTTCAGAATCTCAGAAGACGTCGAAGCTTGAATTGCGGATGTCTCGTAGGATTTTGAAGCCCTTTTCACGTCTTCAAGTCTATTTCCCATGGAATTCCCTTCAAAATGATACCCATATCGCCTAGCTTTTCTAAGAATTCAGAAATCTGACGTCTTCTGGATTCAGAATCCAGAATGTCTCTAAACTAGACGATATGGGTATGAAAATGACGGGAATTTTATGCTCAATCTTTCTAACATCGTGAAAAGTTTTGAAAATCGAATTTTGAAAGAGTTCTGAATCTTAGAAGACGTCAAAACACTTCCATTACGGATGCCATTACCGAAGTATTTAAAATCCAAATTTGGCTATTTTCACGGCGTTAAACTTTTTTTTCTATTAAATTCTCTTCAAAATGATACCCATATCGCCTAGTTTAAAGATATTTTGGATTCTTACACCAGAAGACGTCAGATTTCTGAATTCTCTCAAACTAGGCGATATGGGTATCAATTTGAAGGGAATTTCATGGAAAATAGTTCTAACGATGCGAAATTCCGCGAAAATCAAGTTTTGAAGAGTTCTGGATTCTGAATTCTAGAAGACGTCAAAATTACTGATTTTTTCGATTCTTCGAAAAAATCCAAAATCTTAAGAAACTCAAAAAGCATCAATTTTTCACTGTTACAGGTCTCGGAACCACCATCGACGTGATCCTTGTGAACGGAACGATGCGTGCTGGAGACGTTCTAGTCCTCACTGGAACCGATGGAGCTATCGTAACCCAAGTGAGAGAATTGCTCATGCCAAAACCATTGAAAGAGCTTCGTGTCAAGAACGACTACATTCATTATAAAGAAGTTAAAGGCGCACGAGGAGTCAAGGTTTTGGCAAAGAATCTGGAGAAGGTGCTCGCTGGTCTACCGGTTTATATCACTGATCGAGAGGATGAGGTTGATTATTTGCGGCAAGAAGCTGATAATCAGTTGGCCAATGCTCTTCACGCCATCAAGAAGAAGCCAGAAGGTGTCTATGTGCAGGCGTCCACTCTAGGATCCCTAGAAGCCCTTCTAGACTTCTTGAAGTCCCAGAAAATCCCATATTCGAATGTGAACATTGGTCCGGTGCACAAGAAGGACGTGCAGAAGGCGTCGGCGATGAAGGAGCACAAGGCGGAGTACGCGTGTATTCTGGCGTTCGATGTGAAGGTGGAGCGAGAGGCGCAGATATTCGCCGATCATGAAGGTGTCAAGGTGTTCCAGGCCGATATTATCTATCATTTGCAAGACGCGTTTTTGAAGTATAGGTAAGAGTTATTTGGGTCAGAAAATTTGAAATATAGTCATTTTCAGCTTTGAAAAATGTAATTTCCAAGCCAAAAATGTTTATTTTGCAATTTTCGCGACGTTAGAACGATTTTCTATGAAATTTCCTTAAAAATGATACCCATATTGCCTAGTTTCGGAGAACTCAGAAATCTGACGTCTTCAGGATTCAGAATCCAAGATTGCCCAAAACTAGGCGATGTGGGTATCAATTTGAAGGGAATCCCATAGCAAATCATTTTAACGTCGTGAAAATTGCGTCAAAACCCTCTAAATCTTAAAAAATCGATAATTTTGCAGAGAAGAACTGAAAGATAAGGCTCGGAAGGAGAACGAACATCTGGCAATCTTCCCGTGCAAACTTCGCGTCCTTCCCAATCACGTCTACAACACTCGTGCCCCCATCATCTTCGGAGTATCGATTGAAGCGGGACAGGTGAAACGAGGCACGCCGATTTGTGTGCCCAGCAAGGAGGGAATTCTATTGGGAACCATTTCATCGGTACAGAGAAATAACGAAGAGGTCCCGTTGGGAAAACAGGGAGAAGAAGTTTGTATTAAGATTGAGAATACCACTGGAGAGGCACCAAGACTCTATGGAAGACATTTCACGCATGAGGATCCGTTGGTTTCAAAGGTAACGACTTGAATTCTGGAGATTTTCTGGGCTGAAAAGCACGAAATTCTAGGCTTCAGGGAAGCTCAAAAACCTGAAAAAAAAATTTGCAATTCTATAGTTTCGACGTCTTCTAGGCCTCTAAACTCTTTGAATCTCGATTGATTTTTCGCAATTTTCACGACGTTAAAACTATTTCCCACAAAATTTCCTCTAAATTGATACCCATATTGCCTAGTTTTCGACAGTTCTGAAATCTGACGTCTTCTGAATTCAGAATTTCGAATTCTCTCAAAGTGGGGCAATATGGGTATCTTTCCGAAGAAAATTTCATAAAGAATAGTTTTGGCGTCGTGAAAAATCCGATTTCGAAGACTTCAGAATTCTAGGAGACGTAAAAAATTGAATTTACGAATTTCCAAATTTTCAAAAAAAGAATTTTATAATTCAGTTTTCACGACGTTAAAAATATTTTGCATGAAATTCCCTTCAAATTGTTACCTATATCGGCTAGTTTTGGGATAATTCTGTAACCTGACATCTTCTGAATTCAGGATTTCGATTTCTTCAAATACTGGCTATATAGGTATCATTTTGAAGGAAATTTCATGGCAAATAGTTTCAACGTCGTGAAAATTGTAGAAATTCAACTTTTGAAGCCTTCAGAATCATAGAAGACGTCGAAACTGGAATTTCTGATTTTCCAAAAATTTCAAAAAATTCCAAAAAGCAGTTTTCACGGCGTTAGAACTATTTCCCATGAAATTTCCGTCATTTTGATACCCATATCACCTGGTTTCGGATATTTTTAAAATCTGACATCTTCAGAATTCAGAATCCGAAATTTCTCTTTACTAGGTCGATAGGATATCGTTTGAAAGGAAATTATCAAGAAATAGGTTTCACGTAGGAAATTTGTAAAAATTTATTTTTGAAGGCTTAAGAACCCTAGAAGAAGTCGAATTTTTTCCAGATCACCCGTGAGTCCATCGACGTCTGCAAGACATATTTCCGTGACGATTTGACGAAGGCCGACTGGCAATTGGTTGTTCAACTCAAGAAGATGTTGGATATTATGTGAAAAATCCCCATATTTTCCTATTTTTCCCCCGGTTTCTATCATTTTTCCACCTTTTTTTCTTCCCCCATTTGTTGAAATTAACTAATTTTTTCCGTTTTTCTCTGGTTACGGTTTTTTGCTTGTTTTTTCTCCACTTTTTGTCTAGAAAATACTATCATTTTCACCCCAAAAATGTCCCCGAAATTCCCCGTTTTCCCCTTTTATTCGACGTCTAGTGTTGACTATTATAAGCTCATATGAAAATGCTTCTGGAATTTTCTAGAAAATTCTGAAGAAATGTCCACAAAATTCGAAAAAAAAAATTGAAAGTTATATTGCTAAAAATTAAAAAAAAATAATTTTTTGCCGAAAATTTCCGGAAAATGCGAAAAAAATTGAAAATTCAAAAAAAAATTTTTTTCGGAATTTTTTGAAAAAATTCAAAAAAAAATTTAATTGTTTCAAATAAATTTCCGATATTTCATTCGAAAATTCTGAATCGCCGATGACTGCACGAAAAAGTCGAAATTCCGCTTCAAATCCGACGTCACGGACACCAAATCGAACTCCAATCTGCAAAAAAAAGTGGGCGGAGCTTTCCGAAAAAAAAGTGGGCGGAGCCTATCACACTACCGTAATTTGCACTGTTTCATGCACATTTCCCGCTCGTTCCAGTAGAAAACTTTGCATTTATGCTCACATTGAAGGCGTTGGACCTGGAAAAAAAACGGAATTTCAAGGAAAAGTTAGGTGGAGCGCACTTGCTTACCACGGGGACACTAAACTCTGCATGGACACTGGAAACCGCAAAAATCGATCGACTACGGTATTCGATAATTTGAAGGAGATCGGCGGAGTGGGAGTAGATTCCTGAAGGAAACTTGAATTCTTGTCATTGGAGCGCATTTGCCAATTTTTTAAAAAAATGTGAATTTTCGGGGTTTTTAGACGCGAATTCAAATTTTTAAAGCACTAAAAATGTCTTAAAAATGTAAATTGTCCTGGAAAAATGTGAATTTTCCGATTTTCGCATTGGAGCGCATTTGCAAAAAAATTTTTTTGAAAATTTTTGTAATTTTTGGGTTTTTAGCGATAAAAATGCCTGAGAAAGTGTAAGAAAATTGAAATTAGCCTAAAATATTTGAAAAATTCAGAAAAACTTTTAAAAAATCGAAAATTTTGAATTTTTAAAAAATATTTTTTTTCGAATTTTTTTATATTTTCAAAAAAAAATAAGCCCGAAAATTCTGAATAAATTGAAGTTAATTTTTGCAAAATTTTGAAAAAAAAAACTATCCAAAATTTTTCGATTTTTCTCATTAGAGCGCACTTGCCCATTTTTTTTGAAAAATTTTGAATTTTTGGTGTTTTCTAGCGCAAATTTATTGATTTTCAGCACCAAAAATGTCTGAAAAAATGCTAGAAACAATAATTTAGCTGAAGATTTTTTAAAATGTCGATAATTTAGAATTTTCAAAAAAAAATTTTTTCGAAAATTTTATTTTTTAATTCAAATTTCCCACCTAAACTCTTGTTTACTGTACCGGATTCATACAAGAACGCATTGCACTCTCCCTCCAAGCACCAGCGATTGTTGGCTTTCGTAATAGCTTCGGTGCGCAAGAACTGAAATTTGAAATTTTCGAAATTGCAAACGCGCTCCATCGCAAACTCTCAAAAATCAATAAAAAGACCTGATTCTCTATCAAATATTGCAAAATGATGGCACTTTTGTCGGTGGAAACCTCAAAAAGAGCCATTTTTTCAGAAATTTTCAAATTTCTATAAATATTCCTGTCGGGCTCCGACGAATCGTAATAGTGAGCTTTGGGGATTCGAATTGATAGCTTTTTACGGAATAATTCGGCGATTGGAGTCTGAAAATTTGAAATTTTCAAAAAAATTAGCGGTAGAGCGCATTTGCTAACTTACCTGAGAGATATAAGACATATGGATGGGATAGCCAGTCATGAATAGATAAACATCATCGGAAACATTGTATAATTTCTGGTCCGGGAGAAGAATACAAGTGCAGTTTTGCTAAAAAATTTCGATATTTTGGCTTGGCGGGAAATTTGAATTTTTGAAAAAAAAAATTTTTTAAATTTTTTCCGAACATTCTGCGGATTTTCCATTCAAATTCGATTGTTTTAGGCAGTTTTTTAAAATTTTTCTGTTAAAAAGCTTTTTTTTGCTGAAAAATTTGAAATTGCGGGTTTGGCGGGAAATTTGAAAATTTCGGAAAAAATTTTTCGAAAGTTATTCTTTGATTTCTCGCAGATTTCTTGTTCAAAATTGATTGTTTTAGGCAGTTTTCTCCGAAAAAAAATTTTTTTGTTTAAAAAGCGGCTCGGCGGGAAATTTGAAATTTTCTTTTTGAAATTTTTTTCGAAAATTTTGCAGGTTTTCCGTTCAAAATTGATTTTTCAGACATTTCGAATTTTTTGTACGAAACCTCTTTTTTTGCTAGAAAATTTTGATTTTTTGGTTTGGCGGGAAATTAAAAATTTTTTTCAAAAAATTTGAATTTTTGCAGAATTTCCTTTCAGTTTTGCATTTTTTGGCCGTTTTCTCTGAAAATTCAGAATTTTTGACTTGGCGGGAAATTTGAAAAATTTGGAAAAAAATTTTTTTTAAAAGAATTTTTTCAAATTCCCGCTCAACCTCTTCCTGTCCATTAGAGCGCACTTACATCAAAATCTTCCAGTGGCATACATGTGGAATCATCAATGTTGCATGGATTAAAATCCGATTCTAAGGGATCATCAAAGCAGAAAAATTGGTTTATTAGGAAAAATAGAAAAAGAATCAGCAGAAATATCGATTTTTGGGTCATTTTTAGCAGAGAAATCGATTTTTATACAGAAAAATGGGAAAAATGATGAAAAATGAGCCTAGAAAATGGTTAAAATGATTATAACGAGCAAAAATTGTTTATGACAGTTCTCAAATTTCCAAACAATTCGATTTTTTTCTCGTTTTTCAGGACAATTCCAGCTCATACTCTCTCAATTGCTTCTCGAAACCGGAATTGGGACGAATACCTGAAAAAAAATCGCATTAGACCGCGTTTTCTCAAAATTCTCATTGGAGCGCAGTTACTTACTCCGTGTCTCGCGGCACTTTTCGAATGCCTGACGATACGTCATTTTTTGTGTTTTCATCAAATAACCAACTGCAAACGAGGCGGATCGTGAAATTCCAGCATTGCAATGAATGAAACACTGAAAATTTTGAAATTTCGAGAAATGCAAACGCGCTCTATTGGATTTTTAGGATTTTCGCTTTTTTCGGTGGTTTTCGCAGGGATTTCAGAGAGGAAATGTGGTCTTAAGAGATTTAACACATTAAAAACCAGCTTAGATGCAAAATTCAAAGCTCGAAATGTTGAAAATGCGCTCTATTGGAGTTTTGGCTTTTCTCTGGCTTTTAAGAGATTTAATAGTTTTTTCCATATTCAATCTCTCAGAATTGTTGCTTTTAAACATATTCCTAGTGGAAAAAACAAGCTTTTTCGTAAAATTTTCAGCGCGAAATGATGAAAATGCGCTCTATCGGACTTTTCAGATTTTTCGCATTTTCATTTTCGACTAAAATTTGTATTTTTTAAAGCTTTTCACATGATTTTCGGTGTTTTTACATTGAAATAGTCTAGAAAAAACCGTAAAAATGCAAAATTTTCACATTTCCACACACTGCAATCGCGCTCTACCGGAATTTCTTTCAAAACGCTTACTTTTCCCCGTTTTTCTTGCACTTTTTTGATATAATCAAAAACTTCATCAAAATAATCGACAATTCTCGTCTCGGGCAAGTCCAAAATATCGATTTTCAGATATTGGAAATTTTCGGGGAAGTGATTCGGAATTCCGGTGCCCACATTAATGATATTCGTGATTTTTTGGTTGCGAAGAATCAGAATATCTGCTGCCACGTCTTGTGACCCGAATAGGACATCTGAAAACTAAATTTTTGAAAAATCGGGAAGGCAAATGCGCTCTATTGACAATTATGCGAAAACTGAGAATTTTAGACATTTTGCGGTGTAAAAATCGTGTTTTCAGGGACCTCTAGTTTAGAAAAATTGTTTAAAATTAAAATTTCAGCTGGTGGCCGAGTTTTTCAAATTTGTAGGCCACCAAAGCTGAATTTTGCAAAAACTCGGCCATGTTGGTATCTCTTTGGTTCTTGATGCTCTAAATTGTGTTTTTTTGTGTTTTTTGAATAAAATAATTCAAATTAATTTGTTAACCTCTCATGGCCTAGAAAATTCAAAAAACTCGGCCACCTTGTACTCCTCACCTTCTGTAGCGACCCCAACCACCAAATCTGGCTCTAAATCCACTATAAACCCTCTTCTTTGCAGATATTCGACCTGGAAATTTTTTAAAAATATTAACAACAATTTTTTAGACTTTTAGCACCTTTTTTCGCCGCCGATTCGACACATTTGGCTCGGATTCGAATGATTCTAAGCTGGAAAAAAAATTTTTTAGAATTTTTTTTCAAAAAATTTTAAATTCTACTCTTTAACTTCTTTATAGGTTCCATCGTCGGCTCGCTTCTCGATTTTGACCTCTCCAGACGGGAGAGTGGTGCTGAATTTTTTTTAAAATTTTGAATTTCCGATTTTTTCAGAATTACGTAATCTCCGTGGCTTTAAGCCGTCGTTTAATGCTGAGCAGCTCGTCGAGATTAGGCATAAGGAATATTGATCAAAGTGCTAATCCTTGCCCCATGGATTAAACTTTACACTAGGTCAGAAAGTGCGCTCGGTTGAGAAATCACCGATTTCGCAAGCTTTAGAAGCTTAATCTTGTTTATAATGCTTGTTTATTATGCTTAAGTCTAGTTTCCATTCATTTTTGTTCAAATTTGTATTCTAAAAATCTTTAAAATTAGTTTCTTTGTTTTTTTCCATCCAAAACTATTATTTTAAAAAAATTTCCCGCTTTAAAACTTATAATTTTAAGTTGGTTTTAGTATCAAAGTGTTTGTATTTTAGTCCTCTGCACAGTCTTTTATTTTATATTTCAAAATTCTCATTTCTTTGACTCCGAAAACTCAAAAAACCAATAATTCCCCTGAGCTGCCTCAGCAAACGCGCCCCACCGCACACAATTTTTCTCGCGAAATTTTTTTTTTTTGAATCGCCTCCTATTGGTTTTTCGCGCATTTTGACCCAGATTTCTCGGTTTTTTCGCGATTTTCTTCGATTTTTTTTGATAAAAATTAAATTTTAGACTGATTTCAGACGCAAAATGGTGCAAACCGACGAGCCAGAGGCTCGTACACCCCTACAGTTTGGCGAAAATTTGAGAATCACCGCCGCGGCGAATCAGGTGCGTTTTGAGGCCTGGAAATAGTCAAGAATGATGAGAAGAACACAGAAAAGCCTTGAAATTCATGAAAAATCAGAAATTTTTCGAAAAATTTGAATTTTATAAAATTTTCCCGAATTTTAAAATTTCCAGGGCGGCCGTCGTTACATGGAAGATCGATGTGTGATTCATACAGAACGAGACGATAAGGGAATCCTCCTATGGACATTTGTGGGCGTCTACGATGGTCATGGTGGAGAACACGCTTCGGAATACGTTAGGAAGCATCTTCTCATGAATATCACTGTAAGAAAGCGTTTAATTGGGTTAATTGGTCAATTAAAACCTTAATTGCTTCCAGAAAAATCAAAAATTCGCGTCGGACAACGATGAGGACATTCTGGAGGCTATCCGACAGGGATTCCTCTTCACTCATGAGCAAATGAGAGATGTTCATCGTAAGTGGACCTTAAAAGGCTATTTTTGACATCAAAAATTGATATTGTCGCGTTTTTTGACCCCAAAAATCGTATTTTTGCCCATTTTTTCCTATTGAACCCATATTTCTCTTCCAGTCCATTGGCCATACACGGCATCAGGCTTCCCATCTACCGCCGGAACTACTGTAAGCTGTGTGTTCATTAGGAACGGAAAGCTCTACACGGGACATGTTGGAGACTCGGCAATCTATCTGGGAACTGTGGAAAGTGAGTTTTTGGCTCATTTTATCTCTAAAACAGTAGATTTCGATCATTTTAAGCTCATTTCAGACTATTTTAGCTCTTTTTGAATCATCTTTGGGTCGATTTTGAAGATTTTTAGCTCAATTTCGAGCATTTTTGGCTTATTTTTACCTCTGAAAAGGTAATTTTTATCACTTTTAGCTCATTTTGCCCCTGAAAACCGTGTTAGGCTCATTCTCGACCATTTTTGTCTCATTTTGGACCATCTTTGGGTTGATTTTTTCTGTAAATGGCCTATTTTAAGCTATCTTGGACCGAATCTTACCGATTTTTGGCTCGTTTTCGACCAATTCAGCTCATTTTTGACTATCTTTTGAGCGATTTTGACCATTTTTGGCTCATTTTGGACCAATTTTACCCCGTGAAACCCCATTTTGGATCATTTTCGGCTCATTTTTTTTACAATTTTCAGCCCAAATTTGACTATTTTTGGAACAATTCTGTCTATTTTTGGACAAATTTTCATCATTTATCCCTCATTTCCGACCATTTTAAAATCATTTTCGACCATCTTTAGAACGATTTTGACTATTTTTGGCTCATTTTGGATCAATTTTACCCCGTGAAATGCCATTTTGTATCATTTTTGGCTCATTTGTACTCCTAAAACTCTCATTTTGGACCATTTTCGGCTCATTTTTTACAATTTTCAGCCAAAATTTGACTATTTTTGCAGCAATTTTGACCATTTTTGGATCGATTCTGACTATTTTTAGCTCATTTTAGCTCATTTTACTGCTCAAAATATCATTTTTGACTGATTTTGGCTCGTTTTCACCCCTAAAAAGACCATTTTTTACTCCTTTAAGCATATTTCTACCGTTGGCCTTGTCCCTTTAAAACCCTTTCAATGTTCTTCCAGATGGCGACGTCCGTTCCTGTCCCCTCACAATCGACCATAAGCCAGAATCGGCTCACGAACAGATGCGTATCGCAAAAGCAGGCGGAGAGACGGCGGTGAAAAGCGGTGTGACTCGTGTTGTATGGAAACGGCCCGCCCGTGTGAACATGTTCACACCAAAGGACCTGACTCGACCGATCATCATGGATAAGATACCATTCCTGTCGGTTGCCAGAAGTTTGGGCGATTTATGGTCGTATAATAAGGAGACGAACATGTTTGTGGTGTCACCGGAACCGGATTTGGGTAAGAAATGCGATCTGTGGGTGAAAATAGGCAAATTTAGAGCTGAAAATTGGCGAAAATCTAGCTGAAATTGGTCAAAATTGATCCTTTTTAACGGAATCCTGATCAAAAATATGCTTAAAATTGACAAAATTTAAGCCTAAATTGACCATTTTTCGACAAAATTCGACTTAAAAATATCAATTTTTGAGTAATTTTAGCTTAAAATTGTAGAGTTAGTGCGGGAAATACCGTTAAAACTCAAATTTGCAGATTTTCAGCAGAAAATGGGCTAAAATCTTGTGGAAATTGGTTAAAAATGGACTGTTTTGGACATAATTTATATCCAAAATCGCCTAACTTGATGGTCATATACTTTTCTGGCGACGTTTCGACCAAATTTAGCCTAGAATTACAGCTTTTTAAATACGAAATTGCTGAATATTTAAGTCTCTTTTGAGCTCTAAAAAATTCGACTTAAAATGAGCAATTTCTGACTAGTTTTTTGACGGATTTTCGTCTTAAAATTGAAATTTTCGACTAGATTTAGGTTAAAATTGACCCTTTATAATTGCAATTTTCCACTAATTATAGCTGAAAATTGACCAAATTTCAGCCTAAATTGCCCCTTTTTGACGATTATTCCTCTTTAAAATATTAATTTTCGAACATTTCTAGCCTAAAATTGACGGAATTTCAGCCTAAATGGTCCATTTTACGATTTTTCGACTCAAAAATAGAAATTTTCAAGTAATTTAAGCTGAAAATTGACCTTTTTTGACGAAAATTTGACTTAAAAGTAGCAATTTCGAATAATTTCAGCCTAAATCACCTATTTCTACATTTCCAGGTGTCCACCGCCTCACTGGCAACGACTTCTGCCTTGTCCTCGCCTCCGACGGCATGACAAACGTGCTCACCGGAGAACAAGCAGTGGAAATAGTGTTCAAAGAGGAGGAACTAGTCGAAATCCACGATGAAATCAATCGAAATCACTCGAGATGTGTTCTCCGTACAGCTCTTCACAAATGGAGATCGCTTCGTGCGGACAACGTTACCGTAGCCACCGTAATCTTCGACATCGACCCACTACAGTACTCCAAGGAGGAAGTGGTCATGAAAGTTGGCAGATACGTGAATGCGTCTCAAGTGCTCACAGATCGTCCCGATGCTCTTCTGAAGATCTCTAAGACTGACAGTGTATTGCTCACGACTACACGCACCCCGATTATCTACAACGGGACCAAAGACGCGAATTTCTGTAAGGTCAACTATCGAGGACCCGGATTCAGAAGTCACGATGAGGAGGTTCAGGAGGAGAGGACGTTCTTGATCAACAAATTTAACACTAAAGGAGCCAAAATTGGGATTTCTAATGGATCGGCGGACTCAAAGAGGGGACCATCGATGGCTGGAAGTTCGGCTGACTTGGATTATGATGATGAGGAGGATGATGAGGAGGGTGACGAGGAGGAGGATGAGCCATTCGATCCATCTGAAACGATTAGTATTGAATTGACGTCTTCGGAGGAGGTAGGGATTCTGGCCTTTGGGGATGAAAATCAGCTAGAAATCGCTAAAAATTGAGATTCTGGGGATAAAAATCGCTGAAAAATGAGATTTTGGGGATGAAACTGAGCTAAAATAGAGGTTTTGGAAACGAAAATGACCTGAAAATCGCTGAAAATGACCTAAAAATGGCAAAAAATTGAGGTTTTGAAGATGAAAATGACCTGAAAATGCCAAAAATTGAGATTTTGAAGATGAAAATGTGCTAAAATCGCTAAAATGAGATTTCAAAGACGCAAATGACCTGAAAATGTCAAAAATTGAGATTTCGGGGATAAAAGTCGCTAAAAATTGAGATTTTAAAGATAAAAATGAGCTAAAATGGCTAAAATTGAGATTTTAGGAACGAGAATGACCTGAAAATCGCTGAAAATGGCGCATTTTTGGACAAAAAAATTCTTGAAAATCACTGAGATTTTAGGGATGAAAGGGGATAAAAATCGCTGAAATTTAGCTGAAAATGACCATAAAAGCGCCTTTTTCTAGCTAAAAAATAGAACCTGAAGAACGGTATTTTTAATGCTAAATATCCAATTTTCTAGCTTCAAGAGCTTCAAAAACGGTCGTTTTGATGCTAAAAGTGTCATTTTCTAGCTCTAGAACCGTCAAAAAAGGAAATTTTTCCTACTAAAATTCGAATTTTTTCCAGAAAACCATCACTGTGGTCCCATCGGCCCAACGCCCACCACGTCCACATGCTCCACTTCCAGTCTTCATAGACGACTCCATCATAGAACCGGAAAACTCGGAAAATGGTGTTCAATCGACGTCATCCGGCGTGAAACGAGTCAAAGCAGAAGCTGTCCGACGTCTCCGTACTCCAAGAATCGAGGATTCTGAAGACGTGCTAACAGAGAAACGAGTGACCAGATCGGCGTCGCGTTCTGGAGCCGCCCCTGAAGTCGTCCAGAAGACACCATCACCAATCAAATCAGTGATTGGGATCAATATGAATCCATCGCCAGACGCACGTCTTCCAACCACACCACGACGATCGTCACGTCTTCTGAATGCGTGTGGAGGTATCATTACGCCAGGATCTCCGGGAGCCACGAAGCTGACGATGAGCAGGAAGAGAGCACGAACCGCAGAGATGCCAATGATGATGATGTCGACTGGGGTGACGCCAGTGGTGTCTGGATTGTCCTTGCAGGTGAGGGAATGGCTGGAAATAGCTGAAAATCGATGATTTAGACTTGAAAATATGGTATTTCGGGTTAAAAAAATATCTCATTTTGGGTTTAAAAGGCCATTTTAGGCTTAAAATAGACCAGTTAGGCTGGAAAATTGGGGGTTTTTTGGGTCCAAAAATGAAATATTCAGCATTTTCAAGCTCTGAAAAAGCTTTCGAAATTGATTATCGGGGCTTTTGGGTTCAAAAATTGGAATTTTTGAGCTATTTTCAACGATTTAGGGTCCTAAAAATCGGCATTAGACTCAAAAATAGATGATTTATAATGAAAAATAGGCTAGAAATCTGCCCAAAACAGCTAAAAGTCAACGATTTTCGTTTCCAGGAATCCCCCTACTCTCTGATCCCATCAATGGTCCAACCGAATCTCGCCGAACGTCTCCGTCAGATGCCCCTGACGTTCCCAGTGTTCCCACCGAACTCCCGTTCCGAACCATCCACTCCCAAGAAGCCATCAGTTAAACCATCGAAATGGTCACTATCCCAATTGGATGACAAGAAGAAAAAGAATGATGGCATCGTCAGGGTTTCAGAAGTCGCTGACGATGATGATGAGTTGGATGGAGACGTCATGAGAGAGCCGCCGTCGAAAATGCGACGATTCGTTGGCTATATGAAGAAGATGTTCTGGGGGAAATAATTGCCATTTTTTGGCCATTTTCTGCCATTTTTAAGCCGAAATTTGGCTATTTTTGGTGTATTTTCCATGAAAAACGGGTCAGAAATACCTGGAAAAACCCCGAAATCTGTGCTATTTTATACTCATATTTCTTCATTTTCTCTCTCCGGTATAATCGCATTTTGAATCTCTCTTAATTTGTTATACACACCTACTTAATTACCCTTCTTAATTGCCCCCCCCCCCCACGTCTCTCAATTACCCCATCTCAATTATCTCGGTCTCTTCAATTCACACACACACACACATCTCATCCTCGTTTTTCTCCTAATTTTTTTAGATTTTTTGAGATTAAAAATGGCATTTTCGGCATTTCGAAGCTCCAAAATAGCTTTAAAAAATGATTTTTGGGAAATTTTGAGTCGAAAAATGGCATTTTTAGTGTCCAAAAGTCCCTTTTTGAGTCCAAAAATGGCATTTTCAGCCGTTTTCAGCTCTAATATGACTTGAAAAATCGATTTTTGTTGCTTTTTGGGGTCCAAAAATAGTATTTTTAAAGGTCAAAATCCCAAATTATGATCTTAAAAATGAGATTTTCAGAATATTTTTGACCAAAAAAGCTATAAAATGGCTTGAAAACTCAATTTTTGATCTTTTTAGGATTAAAAAAGACATTTTTAAAGTCAAAATCTCTAATTTTGAGTCCAAAAGTGGAATTTTTAGCACTTTTGCACTCTAAAATGGCTGTCAAAATCGATTCTTGATGGCCAAAAGTGCATTATTGAGGGTCAAAAGTTCTTTTTTCAATGATTTAGGGCAATTTTAAGTCATTTTGAGCTCTAAAAATTTGATAAATCGATTTTCGATGAACTTTCGGGTGAAAAAATGAAATTTTAAAGCTATTTTTCAGCTCAAAAAAGGCTTTTTTTCGAAGATTTTAAGCCGAAAAATGCTATTTTTCAGCTATTTTCAACGATTTTCATGCTAATTTAAGCCCATTTTTTCCTCGTTTGTTTCTTACTCGAATTGAGATTGTTTTCTGTTTCTTTCTTCTTTTTTTCTAATTCCAAACTCACCACCCAAATCTATTTAAAAAAAATCTCCGTTTTTTATAAAATTCAATTTCCCGCCCAATCTAATTAAAATTTCAAATTTTCCGCCCTTTCACTGCCCTTTTTTAATTATTATTATCAATTATCAATTATCACCACTATCATTATCAAAAAGTGCTCAATTTTCGCCTCCTAATTGTTAAAATTATATTTGATTGTACCCCTTTCGATTTTTTGTTTTGTAAATGTTTTTAACTAGAAAATTCCATTAAAATACTGAATTTTCAGATTTTTGGTTGCGTTTTTTTGTGATTTTTGAGGGTTTTTGAGCCCATTTTTATCGATTTTTACCCATTTTTTTTCGGATTTTTTTGACGATTTTTGTTATTTTTTTAAGGTAAAACCCATAATTTTGGGTCGAAAAATGATGGCATTTTCAGCATTTTTCAGCTATAAAATACGATTTTTGAGAATTTTTGGGTCCAGAAATGGCATTTTTAGTGCCCAAAATCCCTTTTTTAGGATTCAAAATTGTCATTTTCCATCTATTTTCCATCGAAAAAGCTCCAAAATGACTTGAAAAATCCATTTTTGAAAATTTTCAGAGTCCAGAATTTGCATTTTAGTGCCGAAAAGACCTAATTTTGCCCCATTTTTACGGTTTTTCCTAATCTTTTTCAGATTTTCTATGGATTTTTAGCTTAGAATGCCTTTTTTTAGTCTGAAAAAGTCGATTTTTATAGTTTTAAAATCGATTTTGACTCAAAAATTCCAATTTTTCGGCATTTTTTGAATCGAAAAAAGTCAATTTTCAGCTATTAGATCCGTTTTTTTTTCTAGAATTTTTGGAAAAAAACTAATTTTTAATTTAAAAAAAACGAAAATTGAATTTTCAATTTTTTTTTTGGTGTTTTTACAACCCATTTTTATCGATTTTTCCACTTTTTTTTCAGATTTTTTATGGATTTTTAGTCTGAAAAGGGTGATTTTTATGATTTTTTCCATCAATTTTGACTCAAAAATTCCAATTTTTCAGCAATTCTTCAGAATTAAAAATCAGGTTTACCAGTGATTTTTCTGGATTTTCAGCTATGAGAATCTTTCTAAAAATCTATTTTAAACCAAAAAAAAGGAATTTTAAGTTGAAAATTGTGATTTTTTAGCGATTTTCAAGCATTTTTTCTAATTTTTCCAGGATTTTCAGCTTTGAAATTCTTTTTTGGGTTAAAAAAATCCATTTTTTAGTCTTTTTTTTCTTTTTCAAAGTTCGTGATTAGGATTTTGAGTATAAAATAGGTCATTTTTATGATTTTTTGAGTCAATTTTGACTTTAAAATTCCAAATTTTCCTCATTTTTTGAATTTTCAGCAGCAGCAGCCATGGCCAAACATCATCCAGATTTGATTTTCTGTCGTAAACAGCCGGGCGTCGCCATTGGTCGTCTGTGTGAGAAGTGCGACGGGCGATGTGTGATTTGCGATTCGCACGTTCGTCCGGCGACACTCGTTCGCATTTGTGATGAGTGCAATTATGGATCCTACCAGGTAGGCGAACTGAATTTGGCTGAAAATGGACATTTTTGGCTAAAAGCAGAAATTTTTATGATGAAAATGACCCTGAAATTCGCATTTTCGGTCAAAAAATGACTGGAAAATTGCTGAAAATTGAGATTTTCGCGATAAAAATGAGCTAAAAATCCTATGAAATTCGACCCGGATCAGTAATTGTCATCTAAGTCTTCAAACCTCGATTTTTTGCGATTTTCATGACGCTAAAACGATTTCTCATGAAATTTCCTTCAAACTGATACCCATATCGCCTAGTTTCGGACGATTCTGAATCCTGACGTCTTCTGGATTCAGAATCCAATATTTTCCGAAACTAGGCGATATGGGTATCAATTCGAAGGAAATTTAATAGAAAATCGTTCTAACGATGCGAATTTCCGAGAAAGTCAGTTTTTGAAGACTTCTGGATCTTAGAAGACGTCAAAACTTGAACGTTTGATTTTCCTAATTTTTATAAAATTTCAAAAAAATTTCACGACGTTAGCACTATTCCCCATGAAATTTCCTTCGAACTGATACTCATATCGCCTAGTTTCGGACGATTCTGAATCCTGACGTCTTCTGGATTCAGAATCCAAAATTTCCCAAAACTAGGCGATATGGGTATCAATTTGAAGGAAATTCCATGGGAAATAGTTCTAACGTCGCGAAAATTGCGAGAATTCTAGTTCTGAAGATTCAAATACCTGGTTTTTAGAGCCAATTTGAAGTTTCCTCTCTAAATTCAAGCCTAAAATTGTCCATTTTCCAGGGTCGCTGTGTGATCTGTGGTGGTGCTGGCGTGTCGGACGCCTACTATTGCAAGGAATGCACAATTCTGGAGAAGGATCGTGACGGATGTCCGAAGATTGTGAATCTGGGAAGTGCCAAGACGGACTTGTTCTACGAGCGGAAGAAATTTGGACCCAAGAAAGCATAGCATTAGTTTCATTCATTGGAGAGATAAATATCGATTTTTCTGTTGATTTTTTGACCTGAAAAATGCATTTTCTTAAAATCTAAATTTTGTGATTTTTTGGGTTAAAGATCGTTATTTTGATCTGAAATTCCCGAATTCCCTCCTCATTTTTCCCTTTTTTTCCTCAAAATTCCTTCTAATTTATTGATTTTTCTGTTGTCGTCTTTTTTTTAAATTTCGAAAACTCCTTCTCCTTCCCTTCCCTCGCTCCCTCCTACTGATCTGAAATTCTCAATTTTTTGAAAAATTAAAATTTTTTTAAAATCTTGAATTTTCAATTTTTATTCACAAATTCACAAAAAAAAATCGAAAAAAAATTGAGAAGAGTTTCCGAAGGGTCTGGTTTCTAGTCGCAATGATGGTGATGGTGCTGGAAATTTGAATTTTTTAAAAATTTAAAAAAAAAATAAAAATTACCCCAAAGAAGCCGTGGTGATGGTGATGGTGTCCGCTCTCGTAGTAGATCACCTCTGGAGCGTAACCGTAGCCCATGGCTGAAAATTTTAGAATTTTAAGATTTTTGGAATTTTTTAAAAATCTTAAAATTTGAAAAAATTAGGCTGAAAATTGGAAAATTCTGAAATTTTAATTTTTTTTTAAATTTTATTTATTTATATTTTTTCTTAAACTCACGATATTGCTGATAAACTGGATACGGTTGAATCATGGGCGTGGCTTGTGGATACATATACGTCTGAGGGACAGGGGCGGGGTACTGTACTTGTGGCTGTTGCACTACTTGTGGATACGGTACTTGTGCTACTGACGACTGGAAAATTTCTGGGCTAATTACCCTTTAATGAATGCCTAATTAGGCAATTGAAGAGTTTGGAAAAAAAACATTTTGAAATTTTTTTTTTTTTTTTAGGATCTAAATTTTTTTTCGACCCTAAAATTTTTTTTCTCAACCTAGATTTTTTTGTACCTGCTGCATATTTGGCACATATGGATTATAGCCAGGGGGTAATTGTTGCTGATTTTGGTAATATGGCCTAGGCTGAGCAATTGGAGGAGGCTGAGCAATCGGTGTGGAGGCGGCAGTTTGGGGGAAGGTCTGAAAAAATGGGGGCAATTAAGACTCTAATTAGAGCCAATTAATTACCACGGAGTACGGTAGCGATGGTGTTGGCGCCGGGGTGTAGGTGGCGGGGATCGTAGAGGTGGCGGAAATCTGAAAATGTTGTATTTTGGGATTTTTGACCATAACTTGGGTACAATTCAATATTTCGAAATTTGGTTTACAATACTGAAATTGGCTTGTCTAGAGCTTTAAAATGAGTATAATCATGACCCACTTTCACAGAATTCGGTTTTTGCGGACCCCTATGCGCCTTTAAAGTCAAATTTTAAAGTGGGCGGAGCCTAGTCGTGTTTATACTCATTTTGAAGCTCTTAACAAGAAGAGTTCAAAATTGCAAACAAAATTCCAAAAAATTGAAGTCCAAGAAGTTACAAATCGATTTTGCGAATTTTCAAAAAAAAAAATTTTTTTTGGAAAATTTTTGTTATTCTAAAAACTTTCAAAAGTGTTCTAACCGGTGTAGCAGCATAATGACCAGCCACAGGTTGCACTGGCGGAGCCGTAACCACTGGAGCCCTCTGAGTGGGCGGAGCCTGAGCGATGGGCGGAGCCGATGGAGCTGAAGTTTGAGGAGGAGGAGGTAAATGACCAACAGTGTTCTGTTGTGATGGATAGGTTCCATTATCGATAAGACCTGGGAGAGGATACGGGTGGGCGGAGAATCCTTGAGAATTTCCAGTGTAGAAGAAGGAGGAGGAGGTGGTGGAGGTGCCAGGGGCGGCGGTGGTGGCGGCTGTCTGAAAGTTTAAAGGCGCATAACTTTTTTGCAAATCGAAATTTTTGAAAAATTCAAATTAGAAGAAAATGTACTCAAAAAGAGCTTTAATATGATATATAATATGTCTAGTTTAAAGAATTAGATGTTAAAGAAAATTAAGATTGCAAAACACATAGGTGACTTTTCTAGAGTTTGTTGCTTCAAATGCTCATAACTTCCTTCAAACTTAACATTTCAAATTAATTTTTACATGATATTGTAGCCATTAAAAAGGGCTTCAAAATGATATAAAAATAATATATTAAATATTTTTCGCTCCTGGTCTAGAAGTCATAAGCCAAAGAGCCGTTCTGAGAGTCCTCACTCTTCGGCAGCTCGTTTCAGGTTGGGTTTTTTAAAGGCGCATAACTTTTTTGAAAATCAAAAATTTTGAAAAGTTTAAAATGGTAAATGTATAACTCAAAAAGAGCTTCAAAATGATATTTAACATGTCTAGTTTTAAGTTTTGGAAAATGGAGAAAATCAAGGTTGAGCCTCAGAAAAAGCACTGATCTCAGAGTCGTGGTGTCAAGTATGTCCACTTTTATCTCGGTTCCTGTAAAAGATAGCAAAAAGTGATCAACTGATAAAATCTGGAGCATGATATCAGTAACATTTTATCAGTTAACAAATTTTGAATATCTCTAATAGTAACCGAAATAATTCAAGTCAAATGGGGCTTCTCTTTTTTCAAGAAGATTTCGTGGTCAAAAATTTTGAATTACAATAAAGCTACGTGAAATGGTCTAGAAGCCCAGGAAAAGTGCTATATAAGAAAAGGGGAGTGGAGGGAAGAATCAGTTCTTCTCTTCTCGGGGCTCAAGGGAGGGGAGGTAGCTCCGGTTGGAGCCACTGGGTCTTGGGGGCTCGGGCCCTTGCGTCCTTGGGTCTTTGGGTCCTGGGACCTGGTTTCATGACCTAGAAATTGAAATCTAGGCCATGACCTAAATTGGCATAAATAGACCTAGATTTCCATTTTTAGGTCATGACCTAGATTTCAATTTCTAGATTTTAATTTCTAGGTCATGATCCTGAGACCCAAGACCCAGTGGCTCCAAACCCTCCCCTCCCTTGAGCCCCGAGAAGAGAAGAACTGATTCTACCCTCCACTTCCCTTTTCTTATATAGCCCTTTTCCTGGGCTTCTAGACCATTTCACGTAGCTTTATTGTAATTCAAAATTTTTGACCACGAAATCTTCTTGAAAAAAGAGAAGCCCCCTTTGACCCGAATTATTTCGGTTACTATTAGAGATATTCAAAATTTGTTAACTGATAAAATGTTACTGATATCATGCTCCAGATTTTATCAGTTGATCACTTTTTGCTATCTTTTACAGGAACCGAGATAGAAGCGGTCAAAGTTGAACCATGACAGAGTTGAACTGGTCACCCTGTAGTTTGGAGCATAAGACTTGTTTCGAGAGCCCTAGGTTGGACCCAAAAATAATAAATTTTTATAAGTTTTTTAATCATCTTGTAGCTCTTGAAAAACTCTACAAAATAATGTAAAAATAACTAGTTTCAAGCTATTCTATTTATATCTCTAGGGGTTTTAGAAGAGAGAGGCATGGCAATTAGGGTGCCCTGTGGTAGCCCCAGGAATTTAAATTTTAGCTGAATTTTATATTATTTTGGAGCTCTTTTCAAGAGCCATCAGAATATGTAACATTTCCTCATATTTTGTCTACGAATTTTTGAAAAAAAAGGACTAAATGAACCAATGGCCTCCTGGGTGTCAAAATGACTGACTAAGGCTTCTGTTCGGGACCCAAAATTTGCCAATATTTTGAAAGTTTGTTTCATTTTGTAGCTCTTTTTAAAAGCTACAAAATCCAGTAAGAATAAAAAGGCACTCTTAAGTTTGAAACAAGTTATGAGCATTACAACTTGAACAACCTCCAAATTGTCGCTTCCCCTGTTCAACTTTAATTAATTTTAACAAAAGTTACAAGCAAAATAAACTAACCATAGGTAGTGTGCCTGCGGGAGCAGTTGGTTGGAGCACACTTGCCGGCGGTGGTGGTAGATCATTTGTGTATTTTTGCTGCTCAAGGGGAATTTTTTGGAGATTATTTGAATTACTTAAATTCAAATTCGCCATTAGCTCCACTGGCGGAGACGTTGCTTGCTCGTAAGTAGGGAGGGTGGCCGCTGCTGGTGGAGTGATTATGACCTCTTCAGTTATCAGTGGACCTGTGAGAAGCACCTAAAAGGGATTTTATTGATTTATTGATTTTCAGAAGTTTCAAACCGTTTTCACCAGCGACGGATCTACACGATGAACAAAGTCGGCCACTTTGGCGTCGTTGAAGAAGATCTGACATTTTAAAAAAGCTATAACTTAGAAGGGAATGTTGATTTTTAAAAAATTCAATAGAGAAAATTGTAGATCTTGAAAAGGGCTACAAAATGATATAAAACTCAGAATACCAGGTTGATTTTGAGGCAAGTTATGAGCATTTTAGACGACTACTACCCAAAACGTTGCTTATCTGTCGCTTATCAGGTTCAACCTTAATTTTCTCCATTTTCCAATTTTTCAAGCTAAACTAATTATATATCATTTTGAAGCTCTTTTTAAGCTCCACAATATCCAGTTTAAATTTTTCAAAAATGTCGATTGTAAAAAAAGTTATGCGCCTTTAAAAACTCCCTAACCTGAAACGAGTGCTGTAGAGTGACTATTCTCAGCACGGCCCGTTGGTTTAAAGGGCATAAAACCGGAATTTCAATTGCAGTTGATGTTTTTTGGGATACGGTACAATCGATTTTCAGCTGAAAATTCATATTTTTTGAGAAAATTTGAAAAAATTTTCAAAAAAATTTTTTTTCTGAAATGTTTTCAACTTAAGCATTAAAAAATCACTTTTGAAGGTTGTCCGAGTAATAGCTCTATTCTGAGTGCCATATCATTATTATTGGTGCTTAAAACCAGAAAAATCGATTTCTTCAGATCGTCATACGGTTTTCCAGCAATTTCGATGTTCGTCCCCACCGGACAGCCAGTATTGATTTCTCGTTTGAACGGCATTGTCTGAAAATGTGCTCTATTGCGAATTTGCTCTTTTTTAGCGAGGATTTTGAATTTTTTCGACCAGCAATCGCGCTCCAACGAACTTTTCGCGTTTTGCTCGTTTATTGTATATTTTTCAGCTCAAAGATATCCACTTACCGGTAGAAAAAAGCTTTGTTTGTTTGACAACATCTTTGAAAGAAAATTCTAGAAAAAAATTTCACAAGAAGTGCAAAAAACTGGGAAAAACGGGCGGTATGTGTTTGTGTTATCAGTTTCCTTTGCCTATTTCAATACGTATTTTTATCGCTGATCAAATAAAAATGCGTCATGCTTCTTTTCCCTTTTTTCCCCGAGTTTCTATTGACCTATATGCTCTTTTTTGAGCAAATATTAGCAAATAATGCGAAAATCCTTTTTGAATTCCCGCGGCAATTCCCTGCGCGTCAAGTTAGGTGTATGTGCGGACTTTGCACTAGACCTCACGGCATGGATTTTTCTATGAATTCTTTAGATTTCTAATGCAATTTTTGGGTGTTTTTGATGAAAAAAAGCCGAATTTTTTTCAGTTTTTCAGATAATGGAGGTCCCATTAAACCTAAAAAATACTGAAAATGCTCGCCGAGCAGCGCCCAACATGAAATGTTTGGCAGATTTTGTAGTAAGTCATTTTTTCCAAAAAAAAATATTTTTTAAACAACTTTTTGAATTTTCCAGGTCGAAAAAGAAATTGGAGAGGGCTCATTTAGTACTGTCTATCACGCCCGGGAGAAAGAAGGCGAAAAACGGGAGATCGCACTGAAAGTTTGTCTGAAAAAGCTAATTTTAAAGAATAAAATGGTATTTTTGACCTAAAAAAAGGATTTTAAAGCCTATTTTTTCAGGTAACATATATTCATCGCGAGAAAGAGGCGCTGGCGTTGCTCAGCCGAGAGGAAAACGCTCATCCGGGTGTTGTCACCCTGTTTGCCACGTTTCAAGACGCTGAGAGCCTCTATTTTGTGCTTTCCTATGCGAAATGTAAGAATTTTTGGCTTAAAACAACCTAAAAATCATGAAAAATCATGTTTTTCTCATTTCAGACGGCGATTTGGTGAGTTTAATCCAAAAACAACCGGATGCCAAGCTCAAAGTTGATGACGCCCGGTATTATGCAGCGAATTTGTTGTCTGCGTTGGGTAAGTGTTAAAAACATGGTTTTTGGCTGGAAAAACCTTCTTAAATCGATTTTTCGAGACCAGAAACCCTTAAAAATGCTATTTTTGAGTCTAGAAACCTCCAAAAGCTCCAGAAACGCTCTGATAACGAATTTTCAGCTTTTGAGCGGTTTTCGGCCCAAATTATACGATTTTTAGCTTAAAAAGCCTCGAAAAATCGATTTTTCGTGTCCAGAAACTTCTAGAAATGGGATTTTCTATTCCTAAAAGCTCTTAAATTGGACTTTCAGCGTTTTCAGCTCAAATTTGCCTGAAAATTCCGATTTTTGGCTCAAAAAACCCCTATTTTTTAATCGATTTCTTCCAGAACACATCCACAAACTGGGAATCATTCATCGAGATGTAAAAGCCGACAATTTGTTGGTGAAACACGATGGACGCATACTTCTAACCGATTTTGGATCGTCGAAATTCCTAAAAGACTACGAGAAAGACACGAATTCCAACGAATCATCGGTACCATCGAGGAGGCGGAGCTTCGTTGGCACGGCGTTTTTTGTGACGCCAGAGGTGTGTTTTTTCCGGAAAATTTGAGAAAAATTCGTTGATTTTAAGAAGAAATCTGAATTTTTGGGGAATAAAACGCGATTTTTAGCTAATTTCACGACGTCAGAATGATTTCCCTTGAAATTCCCGAAATTTTGATACCCATATTGCCCTAGTTTTGAAGATTCTGAAATTCTGGAGACTCTGACGTCTTCTGGATTTTCAGAATCTCGAATTTCATGGAAGTAGGGCAATATGGATATCAAATTGACGGAAATTTCAAGGGGATTCCTCTAACGGCATGGAAAATTCTAAAAATAGCAGATTCAGAATCTAGAAAACGTCAAGATTCGGAATCTCGATTTTTTCTAAAAAATTTCGATTTTTCTAGAATTTTCTGAAATTTTTCTCAACGTTTGAAGGATTTCTCTTGAAATTATCGTCATTTTGATACCCATACTGTCCTAGTTCGGAGAATTTTGAAATTCTGAACCCTCGACGTCTTCCGAATTTTCAAAATCTCGAATTTCATGAAAGTATGGCAATATGGGTATCAAAATGACGGAAATAACTTGTTAAATACTTCCAACGATGTCGAAAATCCTTAAAATAAAGTTTTCAGAATCTAGAAGACGTCTAGAAGAATTTCAAAATTTTCCAAAAAAAAAATTTTTTTGAAAAATTGCCCAATTTTCAATTTTTCAGCTGCTCACTGGCTCGGATATGTCACCGGCAAGCGATTTATGGTCATTTTCAGTGACCCTATACTTCTTTTTAACTGGAAACTATCCATTCGACGATCTATCCGAGTATCTGGTTTTCAAGCGGATTCAAGACGTTCTTTATCGATTTTCAGACGATTTTCCAGATGAAAATGCCAGGGATTTTATTGAGAAAGTGCTTGTTAAAGAGGTAAGAACGACCTGAAAAATGACCCAAAAATCGCTGAAAACTTGCTGAAAAATCCCCCATAAAGTCATTTTTAGAATTTTTCATGCTGTTAGAAAGAATCCTCTTGAAATTCCCGACACCCATATTCCCCTAGTTTAGACATTTTTGAAATTCAGAATTTTTGACGTCTTCTAGATTCTGAAAACGTAATTTTTGGAAATTTTCATGTCGCTAGAAGTAATCCTCTTGAAATTCCAAAAATTTTGATACCCATATTGCCCTACTTTTATGAAATTCGAGATTCTGAAAATTCAGAAGACGTCGGGGATTCAGAATTTCAAAATTCTTCGAACTAGGACAATATGGGTATCAAAATGACAGGAATTTCAAGGGAAATCCTGTTAACGACATGAAAAATTCTGAAAATGAGGTTTTCAGAATTCAGGAGACGTCAGAAATTTAAGTTTTCAGACCGAATTTTAAGCCATTTTTCATGAATTTCGGGTCATTTTTCGTCTGAAAATGCTCAAATTTTCAGCAAAAAGAGCGTTTGACAAGTGACCAGATGAAGCGACATCAATTCTTTGAATCCATGGATTTCGAGAATTTACAAGAAATCGAACCGCCCAGGATTTATTGATTTTTTGGCTAAAATTGTAATTTTTGTATTTTTTTTCTTTATTTTTTCTGCAAAACTTGACTTCCAGAGCTTTAAAGAATTTCTTAAATTATTGAAAAAAAAACATTTTTTTTTAAATTTTATTATTTTTTTTCTGAAATTTCCAGTGATTTTTCTGGTTTTTTACTTCCTTTTTCCCGAATTTTAGGGCGAAAAAACACGAAAAATCGATATTTTCAGACGCGAAAAGATGGCCAAAGTGATTAGAAGTGAGTTTGAAAATTTTGAATTTTTTGGAAAACTGCGATATTTCGAATTTTGGACTCGGAAAAATTCATTTTTAGAATTTTTCATGACGTTAGAAGGATTTATTTTGAAATTTCCAAAATTTTGATACCCATATTGTCCTAGTTTTAAAAATTCCGAGATTCTGGAGACTCTGACGTCTTCTGGAATTTCAGAATCTCAAAAATGTCTAAACTAGGGCAAAATGGGTATCAAATAAATGGAAATTTTAAGGGGATTATTTCTAACGATGTAAAAAATTCGGAAAATGACAAACTCAGAATCTAGAAGACGTCACAATTCTGAATTTCAAAAATGCCTAAACTAGGGCAAATATGGGTTTCAAAATGTTGGAAATTCCAAGGGGAATACTTCTAACGACAGGAAAAATTCCAAAAATGACAAATCTAGAATTTAGAAGATGTCAGAAAATTCTGAATCTCGAATTTCATAAAACTAGGGCAATATGGGTATCAAAATGACGGAAATCACCTGTAGAATCCTTTTAACGACATGGAAAATCTCAAAAATCGCTGGAAATTTCAAAAAATGCTTAAAATCTCCAGATCGCTGGGTTTATCGTCCCGACAACAAGTGGACGCGCTATTTGCCACGTAGAAACGACGCCGTCAAAGAATTCGACTACGAGCGAAGCGGAGCATCGTTGCGCCATTATACAGAGGAGATTCCAGAGGAACAGGTACGAAAAATTCTGGAAAAAATCTAGAAATTTTTGGCTGAAAATTGAAAATTTCAAAAAAAATTTGTTTTCAAAATTTTCACATTTTTTTCCATTGTTTAACTAAAATAGCTCGAAAAACAAGATTTTCAGCACAGCAAACATGTAAAAATCGATTTTCAGCGTCCTAAACGCGCGTCAAAACTGTGGATGGCATGGCTCTACCGGGATTTGGCTGGTGAGCCGAAATGGACCAAGAAACACGTGGAGAACTTGTTTGGAGCGGATTTTAAGGTGAAAATCTGGATTCTAGACGAAATTCTGGCCTAGAAAACCGGAAAAATAGGGAAAAATAAGTCATTTTAAGGGGTTTTAGTCTTGCTGGCCTAGAAAATGCGAAAAGTTCGGCCATGTTGGATTTTAGTGGTTTTACAGTCATTTTTAAATTCTACACGAAAATCTGGCCTAGAAATGTTGAAAATTTGAAAGAATTGGGGAATTTAGGCCTTGCTGACCTAGAAATTGTAAAAGTTAGGCCACTATCAAATTTAGCGATTTTTAAAATAAATTATGAGTTTTTAAGAGTATTTTTTGCTGGAAAACACGAATTTCGAGCTGTAAATGACATTTAAAAAACCAAAATTCGAGGACTGGTGGCCTAGAAAATCCCAAAAATGGAAAAGTTCGGCCATTATTGATTTTTCTCCGTTTTGGAGCCAAATTTTGTGTCTCCAGGGGTATTTTAGGCCTAAAATTGGAATCTGGACAAAAATTTGAGTGTAGACATGTCGAAATTTTCGAAAAATCAGGCCATTTTGGGCTTTTTAGAGTTGCTGGCCTAGAAAATGCAAAAATTAGGCCATATTGGAAATTAGTCGTTTTGAAGCTAATTTTTCTGTTTTTAGGGGTAGTTTTTGCTGAATAACACGAATTTTGAGCTGAAAACCATCTAGGAACTACGAAAATTTGATAAAAAGAAGGAATTTAAATCTTGCTGGCCTAGAAAATGAAAAAGTTAGGCCACATTTGAATTCAGCTGTATTGGAGCCAAATTTTGTGTTTTAGGGCTATTTTGGGCATAAAAAATGGATATAAGCATGGAAAATCTTCAAAAATGAGACATTTAGAGTTTTCCAGACTTAATTACCCCCTAATTACCCTCCTAATTATCTTATAGGTCGGTCGAATGGAAGTGTTCCGTAACACGGAGCTAATGAACGAGGAACTCTGGAAAGTGAAGCATTTGATTGAACTACGCCCGATTGAATTCAAAAATGGCATCGAGCCAACCGATGAGGACGTCTTCTCGACGTCTCTCTCACCAAATGGACAGTGTGAAGTGATTCAGGGTGGACACGTGGCTTCTGAAGGCGATTTGAAGTTGGCTGACGGGAAACAGGTGATTTTTGGGGGAAATTTGAGAAAAATCGAACCATTTTGAGCGATTTTAGGCCTATTTTAAGCCAAATTCGACTTTTTGAAAAATTTGAAATATGAATTTCAGACTTTCTTGTTGATTTTCAGACATTCGAACCAGTCTAAACGTGTTTTTCATGGAATTTCCGAAATTTCGATACCCATATTGCCCTCGAAACTTGGAATTTGAGATTCTGAAATTTCAGATGACGTCAAAATTCAGAATTCCGAATTTTTAGAAAGTAGGGCAATGTGGGTATCGAATGAAAGGAAATTCGATGGGAAACACGATTTTTGAGTTTCCGTACCTCAAAATTGGGATTTTCTAGAAAAAAGTTAAAATTTCAGAAAAAAAATTTCTGACATTTCAGATTTTCTGAAAATTCTTATAATCGCCGAATTCTTAGAATTTTCATCATATTAGCTGGATTCTCCGTAAAATTCCTGACATTTTGATACACATATTGCCCTAGAAACTTGAAATCCGGGATTCTGAATCTCTGACGTCTTCTGAAATTTCAGAATCTCGAAAATGACAGAACTAAGGCAATATGGGTGTCAAATTGAAATACATTCTATGCGAAAAGCGATTTCTCAAATTTCAGAACCTGAAAATTGGGATTTTCTGGGAATTTTCAGCAAAAAAATGTTTTTCTGAAAATTCAGAATTTCAAAAAAATTCCTAAAATCACTGAGTTTTCATATTTTTACTGTCTAAGCTGAATTTCTCATGAAATTTCCGACCTTCTGATACCCATATTGCCCTAGAAACTTGAAATTCTGAATTCTGAATTCCTGACGGCTTCTGAAAATTCAGAATCTCAAAATGCTCGGAACAAGGGCAATAAGGGTATCAAATTGAAGGAAATTCAACAGGAAACACGATTTCCCAAGTTCCAGAACCTGAAAATTGGGATTTTCTGGGAATTTTCAGCAAAAAAATGTTTTTCTGAAAATTCAGAATTTCAAAAAAATTCCTAAAATCACTGAGTTTTCATATTTTTACTGTCTAAGCTGAATTTCTCATGAAATTTCCGACCTTCTCATACCCATATTGCCCTAGAAACTTGAAATTCTGCATTCTGAATTCCTGACGGCTTCTGAAAATTCAGAATCTCAAAATGCTCGGAACTAGGGCAATAAGGGTTTCAAATTGAAGGAAATTCAACAGGAAACACGATTTCCCAAGTTCCATTGGGATTTTCTGGAAATTTTCAGCAAAAATGTTTTGTTTTCAGTGGACCCGAAAGGAGCTGGGACGGGACCTCAACAAAAAGTATCATCTCTACCAGAGTGTCTTCGAGCAGAACGTCCACACACCCAACAATATCACTGTGCTCAAGTAATTTGGCTGAAAATTTCATTTTTAGGCTTGTTTAGACCCCTTTCTTGTTGTTCTTAACATTTATTATGCTCCCCATCACCATCATTATTATCATAAAAATTGGAATTTTTGAGAAAAAAAATTCAGAAATTATTATTTTTTCCAGTTTTCTCAAAAACTAGGATATCAGCTCCTGATAAGATTCCCATCCGTCCTCCCTCGACAATGGAATTCACCGTCCCACACAGAAATGTTCGATTGAACTGTTTGAAACCGGCTGGAAGGATTCGCATGATTTCAGCCAGACGAATTGTATGGTCTGAAATTCAGAAATTTGGCTGAAAATCCAAAAATTTTTTCTTTTCAATTTCTGAAATAACTTTCCAATAATTTCATATCTTTGATTTTCACTATTCTAGCTAAACTCTCCATAAAATTCCCGTCATTTTAATACCTATATTGCCCTAGAACCTTAAAATTCTGAATCCTGACGTCTTCTGACAATTCAGAATCACGAATTCCATGGAAGTAGGGCAATATTGATATCAAAAGCTTGGAAATTTCAAGGCAAATTCAGCTAGAATGTAGAAAATAGTTGGAAATGGATTTCAGAAGTTTTCGGGAGATTTTCAGTAAAATAAAATTTAAGCAAAAAAACAATTTTTTCGCTGAAAATTTTTTATTCTGAAATAACTTTCTGATAACATCATATCATCAATTTTCGCTGTTCTAGCTGAATTCTCCATAAAATTTTCGTCCATTTGATACCCGTATTGCCTTCGTTTATGGGATTCTGAATTTTGACGTCTTCTGAAATTTCAGATTTTTCAATTTTCGGGAAAGTAGGGCGATATGGGTATCAAATTGAAGGAAATTTCAAGGCAAATTCAGCTAGAATAGTGAAAATAGGCGAAAGTCAATTTCCAATTTCGAACAAAAAAAATTTTTTAAAGAAAATTTTTGAGTTTTCAACAAATTTTTCTGTCATTAAAAAAAAACGATTTTTCTGTAAAATCCAAAAATTTGGTTTTGAGCTATGCGCCTTTAAAGTTGGCGTGCTTCTCCCTCGGCGCTCGACCAGTGAGAAAGAAAGAGGCAAATTTAAAAAGGCATATCTCAAAAACTACGGCGGCTAGAAAAAAGTTATTAATTTTAAAATTGTGTAAAATTAGATTCTACACGTTTCATCACTGACAACTTTTTTCTAACTACCGTAGTTTTTGACATATGCGCCTTTAAAGTTGGACGCCTGCCAACGAGACGAGACAAGGCGCATATCTCAAAAACTACGGTAGCTAGAAAAAGTGTATCAACTAATAAAATGTGTAAAATTAAATTTTACACATTTTACTAGTCAGCAACTTTTCGGTATCTTAATTGGGAGCTGAGATAATTAGGCTTAATTAAGCCTAATTGGATTTTCCTAGACTTACCAATAACCGAGCTAGTGACCAGCCACATGAAGAATGGGCTAGCTGAGAAACAATAATGAAAAGCACGATTTCCAAAAGTCTCTTCCAGATTTTCTTGCTCAATTAACGCCATTCCAGACCTCGACGCGGATTTCTCAATTTCTGATTGAGTATGGAGAGAGGGCATTCCACAGGCGTATTCCAGATGGTGCAGGGTCTAAAACTCATTTTCATGAAGAATTAATGTGATTTTCAAAATTAGCAAGCTCGAAAACCCTTAGTTTGATTTAAAAATCTAATTTTGAGACTTTGAAAATTTTGAAAAAAACATTAAAAAATTTTTTTTTCAAATTCTAAAAATCCTTCAAAACCTTCTGAAAATCCATTTTAACCTATTTTTATTATTATAGCTGAATTCTCCATAAAATTTCCAAAATTTTGATACCCATATTGCCCTACTTTCATGAAATTCGAGATTCTGAAACTTCAGAAGACGTCAGATCTCAGAATTCCGAGTTTCAAGTATCTAGGACAATATGGGTATCAAAATTTTGGAAATTTCAGGAAGAATTCAGTTAACGACGTGAAAAATCAGGGAAATGGCATCTCCAGAATTCAGAAGACGTTAAAAAATTTTCTTTAAAAAAATTTTTTTTTTTTGGATTTTTCCAATTTTGAAAATTTTCATGCACACACCTCAAAATGCAACTGATTATCCTTATCATAATCATTGGTTTTTATCAGATCATAAACGATAAATTTGCCTCCTGGCTTCAAAACTCGCTGAATCTCCTCCATGACCTTCTCCAAATTTGGAATATATTTCAATGAATAAATCGCATAGGCCACATCGAATGCCGAGTCTTCTGGAATATTCTAGATGCCATTTTCAGATTTTTCAGCACTTTTTACATACCAAATGGCATTTTATGACAGTCTGCAGCGACGATTTTGCACTTGTTGGAGAGTCCCAGGGCGGCGAATTTCTCGTTTCCTGCAAAGATTGGGTATAACTTTATTATTTTTTGTTATTTCTCAAAAATTTAAATTGGGTTGATCATAACATTCAAACAGCTACAAATTAATAGTAAATGTGGCTAGGATTGAGCTTTGGAGGTTTGAGAAAAATAGCTCTTCAAATACCAATGAGCTTAACCAACTGAAGGTTCAAAATTTAAACCTATTTTTCGCTAACTCAATTTTTTGTAATTCTAGTGAAAATTATATCATTTTAAAGCTCTTTGTAAGTTCTACATTTTCCATTTTAAATTTTCGGAAAATATAAATTTTGAAAAAAATTATGCTCCATTTCCTAGAAGGGCCCCCTACGCGAGCAGGCACACAGGAAGCCTGAATTTTTTTGAAATTTTTCGAAATTTTCAGAATTTTGAATTTTGTTGAGTTATACATTGTTTGATAGCTCTTTTAAAGTGTTTTTCTGTGAAATTTAACTTTTCAAAAAATATGGAGTTTGAAAAAAGCTATGCGCCTTTAAACTTCAAAATCATAATTTTTTGTAGTTCCACAAGATAAAAACGCATTTTTCTAAAACTTTAGAAATTCTAGGTTTTTGAAATTTTATATCATTTTGAAGATCTCTTTAAGTTCTACATTTTCCATTTTAAATTTCCGGAAAATCTAAATTTTGAAAAAAATTATGCACCATTTCCTAGAAGAGCCCCTACGCGAGCAGGCACACAGGAAGCCTGAATTTTTCAATGCTCTGTTTCTAGACAGCCAGAATTTAGATTCTTTTAGTGCTTAATATTATTTTGCAGCTTTTTTCAAGATCTACAATTTGCAATTTGAATTTTTAAAAAATATAATTTTTGAAAAAAGTTATGACTGTTTTCCTGAGAGAGTCCCTTCCGGAACATGCATCTCTCAACACAGAAGGTTGTCATTTTTCAATGAGCCAGATTTGAGTAACTAAAGATTGAATCCTTTTAGTGTTGTATACCATGTTGTAGCTCTTTCAAAAGTCTAAAATTTGCACATAGAATTATAAAAAAATATTGAAAAGGAAGAAAGTTATGGGTCTTTCCCTAAAATGTGCCTTCCCGAGGGCGCGCTTCTCCACACCGAAGACCTTAATTTTTCCAATGCGTATTTCTAGACAGCCGGAATTTATATTTTTTTAGTGTTTAATATTTCTTTGTATCTCTTTTTGAGGTCTAAAATATGCAATTTGAACATTTTAAGAATATCAATTTTGAAAGAAGTTATGGCACATTTTCTAAAAGAGTCCCCTCCCCAGTGGCGCTGAACACAGGAGGTTGTCATTTTTCAATAACCCAGATCTGAGCAATCAATTATTGAATCCTATTAGTGTTTTATATCATTTCGTAGCTCTTTTTAAGATCTATAATTTTCAATTAACATTTTTCAAAAATATTGAAAATTAAGAAAGATTTACAAACTAAAAATCGCATTTTTGAAATTTTTCGAAAATTTCAGAATTTTGAATTTTGTTGAGTTATACATTGTTTGATAGCTCTTTTAAAGTGTCTTTCTGTAAAATTCAACCTTTCAAAAAATATGGAGTTTGAAAAAAGTTATGCGCCTTTAAACTTCAAAATCATAATTTTTTGTAGTTCCACAAGATAAAAATTTTTTTTTTTAAACTTCAGAAATTCTAGGTTTTTGAAATTTTATATCATTTTGAAGATCTCTTTAAGTTCTACACTTTCCATTTTGAATTTTCGAAAAATCTCAAATTTGAAAAAAGTTATGCGCCTTTAAACATTTCCTTCTTCTAGCTGCATCTTATCAAGCTTCAACTCATCAAATCTAGTCGAATTTTATATCATTTTAAAGCTCATTTCAAGTTCTATATATTAAAATTAAAACTAACCAATCTCCGCCTCATTCGGAGCAATCGTGACGCCAGTTAGCTTGGCTCCGAAATCAGCAATATCCAACATAACTCCACCGATTCCACAGCCAATATCCAGACAGTGTACATTTTCATTTAGCTCTAATTTTGCGGCAATGTGCCTGGAAATGTATATTTTTCTTAATTTTTTTTCAGAATGCCAAAAATTACTGATGCAACGACTTCAAAGCCTCTTCCAGTGGTTGTCCATCAAATTTGGGTGGAACAAAATGAAAATTCCCGCCGAAATAGTCGTCGATCACCTTGCTCATCACACTATAATAGTGTGTTGTCACCTCCAAATGATCTCCAGTCTCCAACGCCTTCTTGTAGAGCACATCATGTTCGGTTTTGAAGTTTGTCTGAAAAAACAAAAAGGAATTGCATTGCGGGGACTTGAACCCGCGGCCAAGTGCGCAAGAGTGTAGCGCGCTAGCCACTACACCACGCGGCACACAAAGAGGAAAATGCGGAGAAGGCGTAAAGATGCGCAGTGTTTCCTGGCGCCGCCGGGGTGGGAGGCCGGGCCCCGAGGTATGAAAATATCAGGAAAATATTTGAAAATGAAGAACTAAATTTTCAGATTTTACTATTATTTAGGTATTTTTTTTTCAATTTTTTGTAGTTTGTAGTTTGTAGTGTCTCTCTCTCTCTCTATTTCTATTCAAAGGGTGTCAATTATTGTCAAACCAATTATCTAATGGCCATATGATCGTAAGATGTATAGATTTCGCGGGAAAATGGAAAAGTAGGTCAAATGTTCGTAATTGAACAGATCAAACGAGAGAGAAGAGACGCAGAGAAATTAGGCGACAATTGTACTAAAAAGGAACTTCTTCTCCAGACACTTGTACTTTTGCGGGAAAAAAATGGAAAAAGTGATAAGATGATAAGGAAAAACAGGCTTTTGCAAAAATTATAGCAGATAAGAGATAAGGAGCTGTCAAATGTTGAAAAAAAATTTCCAAAAAAAAAAATTTTTTTTCGGATTTTTGGAGATTTTGACCCATAACTTTTTTATCAAATGAGGTTTTTATTTAAAATTTACATATGTTATAGAAAATTTTATGCACTTTAAAATGCTATAAAAAACAAAAAAGTTGAAAATAAATGAAAAAAGTTATGGTCCAGTTTCTGAAAATTGGAGATTAGGGACCTTCGAGAGCTTAAAACTTTATGAAAACCAAATTTTTTGGGGAGATTTTTACTTTGAAAATTTTTTCATGATATTTAATACTAGAAAATTTAAATTTTATCTGGAAATGTTGAACTTAAGATTAAAAAAAATTTTGAAAAAAAAAAAATTTAAAAAATTTTTTTTTCGAATTTTTCAAATTTAAATTTTTTTCTAACTCACCAAATCATGTCGTCGAAAATGTGTTAGCAATTTTAAAAAATTCGCATTCATGTTGATGGACATCTTCTGAAAATTTTAAGATTTTCAGAAAAAAATATATTTTGAAAATTTATTTTCCAATTTTTCTAATTTTCTAGTCTTTTTATACTTTCAGAACAAACTAGACAAAATGGGAATTTTTTTGAACTATGTAAATGACTCATTTTTTTGAAAAAGATAACAAAATTTTTCAAAAAATTTGTTTATGACCCCGATTTTTCCCCAAAAAAAATCATGATTTCTGTTCATTATACAAACAAAAAAGAATAGAAATGACGATGGATTTTTATTGTGTCAATTTGTGTGTGTCAAGGTACTTGGGAAATAGGCTCCGCCCACTTTTTTCGGGAAGAAAATCGAAAGTTGTCGCTTCTTGTCCCTTTTTGTTTGCCCAGGAATGAGTGTCCAAATTGGAGAAAAACATTTGAGACCATCTGAACAAAGTACAAAAAAATATCTGGAAAAATCTTTAAAAAAGGCTAAAATCGGTAAAGAAGAAAAAACCCAAATTCAAACTTCCCTCGCTTTTTCGCGGGTACGACACTCCGCAATCCCGGCTGCGCGTTGTTTAGCCCGCAGTGAGATGGCGGAGTGTCGTTGTTTCTGTCAATTTTAATCGAATTTTCCTGCTTTTTTCGTATATTTTCAACGAAAAAAATGGCTTTGGACTTCTGGAAAAGCAGTCATGCGTAAGAGAAAATGAATTTAAATTGAAAAAATCAAAAAAATCCATTCAGACAACAGTGGATTTTCGATAAAACCGAAATTTGGAAACAGCGAGCGGAGGACATGAAAACGTATAGTGAGGAGGAGTACAGCCGGTTGAATATCTTTTGGGCGAATTGTAAGAGCCCAAAAATATTTTTTTTTCCGAAAATTTGAAATTTTCCAGTCATCACCGCTGTGGCCACTGAGTGTGCGCATTCCCAGGCGAATGTTGGCTGTAAACTTCGTCAACAAGTCATCGCCACCGCTATCGTCTATTTTAAGCGCTTTTATTTGAGGTTTAAACTCTGAAATTTCAGCTAGATTTGCCCCATGGCCTAGAATTTTCAAAAACTAGGCCATAAGTACTTTTTAACTAAAAATGCTCATTTCAAAGCCATTTTTGAGCTTATTTTACCCCAAAAGTTCGAAAATTTCAGATATTTTCAGCCGAAAATCTCAAAATTCCAAAAAAATAAATTTTCCAGACAATCCTTCCGGGACATGTGTCCATTCCTGGTGGCTTCCACAGCGCTGTTCTTGGCGTGCAAAGTCGAGGAGCACACCACGCTAAGTGTGTCGAGCTTCCTCAAAAATACCGCGCTAGTTTGTAAGTCTTTTTTTTTTAATGAAAAAAATTGTAAAAACTGCATTGTTAGAGCATTTTAAGCTTATTTTACCCCGAAGAATTCGAATTTCCAATCAAATTTCAGCCTAAAACCCCCGAAATTTATCTTCAAAAATCATCAAATTCGAAAAATTCGAAATTTTAGATAAGTGGCCTAGTTTTCCCAGTTTCTAGGCCACCAGCACCTTTTCTAGGTCCATTTTCTCGATTTCCAGCCAAATTTGATGCTAAAACGCCGGAATTCCAGCTAGAATCATATATAATTAGACCAGTGGCCTAGGATTTTCAAAAGTTAGGCCATAGGTACATTTTGGCTAAAAATGCTCATTTTTGAACCACTTTTGAGCTAAAAACTTCATTTTTCAGCTTTTTTACCCCGAAAATTGACTTTTCCAGCTAATTTCAGCTCAAAGCATAACAAAATTCTGAAATTCCAGCCAGATTTGTCCCAAAATGGGCTGAAATCACCCATGGCCTAGGATTTTCAAAAGTTAGGCCATGGGTACTTTTTGACTGAAAATTCTCACTTTTAGACCACTTTTGGGCTAAAAACTTCAAAATTTCCGCCGAAATCATCCCCCTGAAAGCACCCATGGCCTAGAAATTCCAAAAATTAGGCCATGGTCACATTTTCCACTGAAAATGATGCTCATTTATATGCCATTTTTGGGCTTAAAATTACAATTTTCAGCTAATTTCAGCCAAAATCATCTTTTTGGGCTATTTTTGAGCTAAAAAATGAATTTTTTTTTCTCCGAAAATGCTCATTTGGACCATTTTGGACCATTTCTGACTAAAAATGCCCCGTTTGTGGGTCATTTATGAGCTGAAAACCTCATTTTTCGGCCTAATTAGCCGTGAAAATCCCAAAAATTCGTTTTTATTTGTCAAAAATCCTAATTTTCAGCCCGTATCACAATGCCCCATAGCAATCATACCCCTGACAGAATCAACAATTTAAATTACATTAAGGAATTTTGTGAGTCCACCCTCCCTTAATTTGATCTCTAAATGTTGTTTTTGTGCTGATTTTTTAATGGTTTTTCGGGCTTAAAATCTGGGTTTTCAGACCTAAAGAATCTTAAAAATGTGAATTTTTAGCTGAAAAATTGTGTAAAAATCGCAAAAAATCATTAATTTTGAAATTTTGGGCTGTAATTTATGATTTTTTGGCTTGAAATTGAAGGTTTTTAGAACTAAAAATGCCTTTAAAAAGTGAATTTTTGCCTTAAAAATTCTTGAATTTTAAGATTTTGGGCTGATAAAACTGAATTTTTGGCTGAAAAATCGGAATTTTAGAACTGAAAATCCTCTAACTGTGGATTTTTAGGACCAAAAACCTCGTAAAAAGCTTAAAATGAGAATTTTTTGGCTGAAAATTGGAGGTTTTGGGAACTAAAATCCTAGAAAAAGTCCTCGAAAATGGGATTTTCCGGCTGAGAAATACTGAAAAAATCACTGAAAAATCATTGATTTTGAATTTTTGTGCTCTAATTTGTGAATTCTTGGCTTAAAATTGAGTATTTTCTGCCTGAAAATATCGAAAAATCAAGTTTTCAGTGCCAAAACGCTGGGGAGTGGCCTTCGAAACGAACTCGGCGAAGAACGGAGTCCTCTACGACTCGGAATTCATCCTGGTGGAGATTCTAGACTGCTGTCTGGTGGTCCATCATGCCACACGACCAATGTTCGAGCTACTGGAAGACTGGAAGCAACACACGCTGACATCAACCAACACTCCAGTCAAGGACTTTGATCAAATCGAGATTCAGTGTCAAAAAGTGGTGAATGACACGTTGAGATGTGACGTTGGCCTGATGTTCGCACCCCATTGCATTGGATTGGCGTCGATTAGTGTTGGAATGGAGCTGATGGGAAGGGGAGAGGAGTTGGAGGATTGGTTGGTAGAGGTGGACACTGACATGGATAAGGTGAGGTTGATGAAAAGTTTAATTAACTGGAATAGTTCAAAAATACCCGAAAACCGTCGAAACAGACGTCAAATCATTCAAAAATGGTGTTAAATCCGTTTAATTGACCTTAGAATGGCGACGAATGATCCTAACACGGCCTCAAAATGGCCTCAAAATGGTCCTAAACTGTCTAAAAAAGCCTAAAAATGGCTTTGAATGATCCCGAATGACCTGAAAATGGTCTGAAAATAGTCCAAAATGATCCCATATGGCCTTAAAATGGTCCCAAACAGTCTGAAATTGACCTAAAAACGGTCCCAACTTGTCTAAAAATAGCCTTTGAATGATCCCAGATTGTCTAAAAAAGCCTAAAATAGCCTTAAAACGAGACGCCAATGGTCTGAAAATGGTCCCAAACAGTCTGAAATTGATCTAAAAATGGTCAAAAATTGCCTTAAAACGGTCTCAAACGGACTAAAAATAGCTTGAAAATGGCTTAAAAAGGCCTTAAAATGGCTCCGAATGGTCTTAAAAAGGCCTTAAAATAGCTCTGAATGGTCTAAAAATGGTCCCAAATGGTCTCGACGTGCCTAAAAATAGCCTTAAAATGGTTCCGAATGGCTAAAATGGCCTTGGAATGACCCTGGAGACTTAAAAAGGCCTTAAATGGCCTTAAAATGGTTCCGAATGGTCTAAAAATAGCCCCGAATCGATTTTCAGACCTAAAATCGAATTGTTTGCAGCTGGCCGACTGTATCAACCAGATCTACACAATGTACCAACTGTGGCGTTCGTTCGATGAGAAGGAGGAGGTGAAGAAGTTGATGGCGAAACTCCCCAAGCCAAATACACCCATTCCACCACCACAACAACAACAATCCTCTTATCATATGTAGATAATTTGAGTTTTTGAATGAAAAAACTGATTTTTTGTGTATTTTCAGTGATTTTTATGGATTTTTAACCTATTTTTGGCCCCTAGAACCCCAATTGCAGTCAGTTCCAGCCAATTTGCGACTCTGAAATTCCATTTTTCTCTCTTTTTTCCCAATTTTTATTCATTTTTTTACCTCATTTTCCCCTTCTATTTTTTTCTGTAGATCTCTGATTCGTCATGTACCGTAATCCCCCTGTTTTGTCCCTTTTTTTTCTGAAAAATAAGATTCCTGAATGTATTTTTTTTCGTTTTTCCCCGCAAAAATTGGCCAAATCAATCAAAGTGGAGCGCATGTGACACTTCTTTTTCTCTTTTTATATTTTTTCGGAAGATTCAAAAATATAGAATTTCCGAAAAAAAAAAACGTAGAGAAATCCATTAAAAATCGGCGAAAAATCGAATTTTTACGATTTTCCGAAAATTGCAAAAATGTCGCAGTGGGATTTTCGACAACTACCAATCTGACGACCCGGGTTCGATTCCTCTCGGTGGCAAATCTTTTTTTTTTGATTTTTCAAAAAATTTTTTAGAGTTTTTGGGGTATTTTTAGGCGAAAATTTTGGAATTTTTGGAAAATTTCAAGATTCCAGAAATTTTTTGGAATTTTTAGCTTCAAAAATTAGATGCAATAAGTTTAAAGGCGCATAACTCGAAAAGTACGGTAGTTAGAGAGAAGTTGTCAACTTGAAAAATGTGGAAAATTGAATTCTACACATTTTTGTAATTGGCAACGTTTTTCTAGCTACTGTAGTTTTAGAGCTATGCGCCTTTAAACATAGCGTACTCACTCTCCGGCGCCGGTTAATTACGCGCGCCCACTTTAAAGGCGCATAGCTCAAAAACTACGGTAGCTACTAAAAAAGTTGTTGACTAGAAAAGTGTGAAGAATTTCATTCTACACATTCTTCCGTTTTCAGCGTTTTGCTTCCTACTGTAGTTTTTTAGCTATGCGCCTTTAAAGTTGCCGCGCCCCTCTTCTCGGGCGCCGCTGGGTCTGCGCCTTTAAAGGCGCATATCTCAAAAATTAGAAAAATTACAGAAAAATTGTTAACATGAAAAATGTGTAGAATTGAACTTTTCACATTTTTTCAGTTGACAACTTTTATTTTTACTACCGTAGCTAGAAAAAAGTGTTTGAGGACAAAACTATGTAAAATTGAATTTTACACATATTTTTAGTTAAAAACTTTTTCGTATAATTTTCAGTTTTCGAGTTATGCGCCTTTAAAGTTGGCAAGCCTCCTGGCCCCTGCGGCGCCTGAGAAGAAGAGCGCGCCAACTTTAAAGGCGCATATCTCAAAAACTACGGTATCTACTGAAAAAGTGTCAACTACAAAAACTAAGCTCTAGTTTTGATTAGTGTAGTCTAGAAATTTCAGCAAAATGCAACAGTTTCTAGCTAGACTTTCTCAAAGTTAAAAAAAACCAAATTTTTGAGCTGAAAATTTCCAAATTTTCAGATTTTTAAGCTGTTCAAAAAAAGATCCAGAAATTGAGCCTGAACATTTTTTTCAGCTTTTTAGCTTGAGTTTTCTCATTGCAACCCTTTTTCCAACCTCAAAAATCACCAAAAAAAATTTTTTTTATTCCAAAACTCAAACTTCCCCAAAAAAAATCCCCCAGAAGAAAGCCCCAAATGGAGTGTGGGATGTAGGAACTTAATTTCCGTTCTTCCAGTAGAGTTTTCCCGCAAAAAAACCAAAAAAACGGGGAAGAAAAGAAGAGAAAAGAGCATGTTGAACATGCAAATTAACTTGATTTTCCATCCACACACATTCCCTCTTTCTCCTTTTTTTTTTTGATTTTTTCTTTCTTTTTTGATGAAGAAGGAGATTTGTTCTCCCTAACAAGCACTTTGCGACATGTGATTTTATTGAGTTTTGATCGCTAGAAAACAGCTGGAAAATCTGGAAATTTTAATTTCAGATTTTTAGGATTTTTCGTAGATCTGAAAATCCATCTAGAAAATTTTCAATTGTTCTGAAATTTGCAGACTATACTAATGAGAACTAGAGCTTCATTTTTGTAATTGACAACTTTTTTCTAGCTACCGTAGTTTTGGAGATATGCGCCTTTAAAGATGGAGTCGCCTAGCGGCGCCAACTTTAAAGGCACATAGCTCAAAAACTACCGTAGCTAGAAAAAAGTGTTTGACAACAAAAATATGTAAAATTAAATTTTACATATATTTTTAGTTAAAAACTTTTTCGTATAATTTTTAGTTTTCGAGTTATGCGCCTTTAAAGTTGGCGAATTTCCTGGCGCCGGCGCCGGCCCAGCGAAGCCGCCCAGTGAAGTAGTCCATTTAAAGGGGCATAGCTCAAAAACTACGGTAGCTAGAAAAAAGTTGCAAACTACAAAAACATGTAAAATCAAATTCTACACATTTTGTTAGTTGAAACCTCTTTTCTAGGTACCATAGTTTTTGAGATATGCGCGTAATAGCAAGCTCAAAAATGGAAAAGTACTTGGGATCCTCGATTTTTTAAAATTTTCGTTTAAAATACATTTTGAGGTTGGAAAAAAGGGACTTGAAGGGTAATTGAGTCATAAAAAGCTTTTGAAAATTTTCAGGTTCCTGTATTGAATGAACAGCTGAAAAATCTGAAATTTTCGAATTTAAATTTTTTTATTGAGAAATTTCGAATCCCTGGAAATCTATCTAGAATTTTTTGAATTTTGCTGAAATTTACAGGTTATACTAATCAAAACTAGAGCTTCATTTTTGTAGTTGAAAACTTTTTTCTAGCTACCGTAGTTTTGGAGATATGCGTTGTGGCGTCTCCTGGCACCGGCTAGCGCCCGAGAAGAGGGGCGCGCCAATTACAAAGGAGTACAACTCAAAATCTACTGTAGCTAGAAAAAAGTTGCAAACTAAAAAAACATTGAAAAGTTAATATCACACAAATTTGCAGTTGACAACATTTTTCTAACTACCGTAGTTTTCAACTTATGCGCCTTTAAAATAGTCTTAAGCCCAAAAAATGGAAAAGGGTACTCGGAATCTTGCATTTCTGAAATTTCATTTTAAAATACACTAGAAAACCCAAAAAACAAAAAGCAAAAAAGAGTTTGCCACCGAGAGGAATCGAACCCGGGTCGTCAGATTGGTAGTTGTCGAATATCCCGTTGCGCCATTTTTGCAATTTTTTGAAAAATCGCATTTTTCATGGATTTCAAGATTTCAAAAGGGTTTTTAGGGGTTTTTAGGTGTTTTCGAAGCAAACTGGGTGTCTAAAAAACTAGAAAAGTTAGAAAAAAGCCAGAAAATCCAGGATTTTTTCTTTAACTTTCCCGCATTTTTCTCGTTTTCCGAGGCTCATCTCATCTCTTTTTGTTCTCAATTTCAATTCAATTTCCGTTTCGTTGGGCGGTCCCATCCACTTCATCATTTTGCAACTCTTCTCCTCCCTTTTTCATTTATTTTCTCCGTTTTAAACGTTTTTTTTTCCATTTCTTTGCTATTCTCTGCGTCTCTTCTCTCTCTCTCTTCTCTTTTTCAGATTTATTTTATTTTCCAGCTTCCAAGACTACAGTAATCCAAGAATTTTTCCGGTTGACTTCTCTATTTTTGCTGTATAACCGTACATAATTTTCTCGTCTCTCCTATTTATTCTCCGAGAACAAAAAAGTTGTGTGGAGAGAATCAGAGAGTGGAAGCTCCGCCCCCTTTTTCCCCTCTCACATGCTCATTTTCAATTATTCAGACGACGTTAGTGCTTTGTGTCCGAATGAATGAACTCTCCCTTTTCCCGACTTTTTTGTCCCTCTTTTAGCACGTTCCAGCGCTGCTTTGCGCTATCCTTTCAATTAAGGTTAATTATCTCGGCTGGTAATTACAATATGAAAAACTTGTTAATTAAAAAAATGTGTAGAATTTAATTTTACACATTTTACTAGTTGACAACTTCTTTCTAGCTACTGTAGTTTTTGAGGTATGCGTCTTTAAAACTGGCGTGCCTCTCACCCGGCGCCAGTCGTCAGGCGCCTGAAGGCGCATATCTCAAAAACTACAGTAGGTAGAAAAAAGTGGTTAATTGCAAAATGTAACTCTAAATTTGATTAATCTAGATTTTAAATTTCTATCCTGTAGCTGTACTGAAAACTGAGATAATTAAGGCCAAACAAGCTAGGTCGAGGAGCTATCTCCAAATGCTCCAGCCCGTTCAATTAAGCCTGATTATCTCAGCTGGGAATCAAATTTTGAAAAAGTTGTAAACTAAAAAACATTGGAAATTGAAATTTACTTATTTTGCTAGTTGACAACTTTTTACTAACTACCCTAGTTTGTGAGATATGCGCCTTTAAAGTAGATTCAAGCTCAAAAATAGGATAGAGTACTTGGAATCCTGATTTTTCTAAAGTTTTTGTCTTAAAATACACCAAAAACCCTAAAATTTCAAAAAAAAAAAGAAAGCGAAAAAAATTGCCATCGAGAGGAATTGAACCCGGGTCGTCAGATTGGTAATTGTGGAAAATTCCACTGCGCCATTTTTGCAATTTTTCGAAAAATCGCAAAAAATCGCATTTCTAATAGATTTTTTAGGTTTTTAATGGGGTTTCTAGAGGTTTTTAAAGGGAAAATCTTTAAAAAGTAAAAATATTTATGATCGAAATTTCGAAAAATTCCAAAAAAAAAATGTCCCCTCCCCCTTTTTATTTTCCTTTTTCTCTCATAATTATTCCTGAATGCTCAGAGAGCAATAAAAAAAAGAGGAGCACAAATATTATGAAGAGAAGAAGAGAAGATCACAAATTGAATGATGCTCATTCTCCCTTTTTTGTTGTTTTTGACACCTGAAAATATAATTTTTGGCTGAAAATTAATTTTTTTTTGGAAAAATTTAATTAAAGACAGGTGATAAAAAAATATCAAATTTTAATAAAAACAGAAAAAAATAGTGATTTTTTAACCAATGAAAAAAACATTTTCTCAAAATTATTTTTTCGAAATTTTTCCCTCCAAAAATAATTTTTTTTGGGTTTTTAACAGTTTATAAATATTCAGCTCATTCTGAGCTTCAAAATGAGCCTCCACACGACTATGAAGCTCCTCCCACTTTTCCAAAAACCAGGTCCCAAAACGAAAACTACAATAACCCCCGGGGAGCCTAATTGTACCCGTGTGGGGGCTCATTTTGAAGCTCTCGATGAGCTGAATATGTTAAAAACAATGAAAATCAAAAATTCAGGAATTAAACAATTTTGGGACGGAATTTCAAAAAAAAAATTTTTTTCAAATTTTAATATTAGATTTCCTGGGTCATTTTTCTTGGTTTTTTTTCCTGAATTTTTTTGGAATATGGCAATTATATATGGATTCAATAAGAAGGGAATTCCGGTAAATCATATTTCCCACGCCATTCCTTCACTTGTGACCAAGAAAAAGAGGGGAATTATATGGGATTTCCTTTTTTTTCTCTCCAGAAAAATTTCTTTTCCCTAAAAGTCATGTACTTGTTCTTAGAAACTACATAAGCCCACGACTTTGGGTTTTCTATAAATTTCTTTTTCGAAAAAAAAAATTTTTTTGAAAAATTTTTTTCTGGAATTTTCAGCCAAAAATGATAGGAAAGTGATGAAAAAGTTAGGCGGGAATTCGAAACTTTGAAAGCTTTTCAGCCAAAAATAGTAATTTTCAGCCAAATCTAGAAATTCTATTTTTGGCTGAAAATCTGAAAATCTTGTTTTCTCTCTCTCTCTGGAAATTTTTATCCAATTATTTTTAAATTATATGTTTAATTGAGTCTTGTGCTCTCTATATGAGCAGCTGAAAATACTGAAAATAACAAATTCCAAGATTTTTGATTTTTGAAATTTTTTGAAAAAAAAATTTTTTTTCTACTTTTCCTATTTTTTTCCTGGTCCCTTATAAAAGAGAAAAAAGAAGAAAAATCTGTGCATTTTTGATGAGGAATCTGGTGACGAGTCAAAGGTAGAAGTAGAATATCTTATGCTTTCTCTCACTTTTTTTCCTGGAGTTTTTCTTTTTGTTTAGGTCGATACTTCTGGGATTTTTGACTAGTTTTATTAAAAACCCCTAACTTTCTTAAAAATCGAAATTTTTCAATAATTTAAAAAGGAAAATGTAGGATTTGAAGAGAGCTTCAAAATGATATAAAAAAGTCATATTTCGAATTATAGATCTTAGATAAAACAGGCTTTGAATCTAACAGAATTGACGACAGTCGGCCACAAAAGAGAGGAAGCAGCCTCTTGCGGTAAAACTGCCAAAAGTTTTTTCAAAATTGAAGATTTTAGAGAATTTAAAATGGAAAGTGAAGGATTTGAAAAGAGCTTCAAAATGATATAAAATACGATTAATTTTGATGCATACATCTTAGATAAAACAGGCTTTGAATCTAATAGAATTGACGACCGTCGGTCACAGAAGAGAGGAGGCAGTCTTCGGGGTAAACTGTCTTAACTTTCTTCAAAATCGAAATATTTTGATAATTTGAAATGGAAAGTGAATGATTTGAAACACTCTATCGAATAATATACAGTATGCATAGGTACTTAAAGTTCTAGTCACTAATCAAAAGGGAGAAATAAACACTAACAGATGAAGCACTTAGAGGGGGTCAATTGGTAACGGCTTCGGTATGCAAGCCCGGTGGATTAGATCATTTTGAAGTTTTTTTCAAGATCTGCCATTTTTTTAATTTCTCAAAAATTCAAATTTTTAAGAAAGTTATGGCACTTTTACCGCAAGAGGCATACTCCTCTCTATTCTGCCGACGGCTCTAATAGACTCGACGTCTTATTTCCCAAAGTTCCAAAACTCAAACTTTTAGATGTTTTATATTATTTTCAAGCTCTGTTTAAGTTCTACATTTTCCTATTTGGATTTTTCAGAAATTCCAATTTTGAAGCAAGTTATGGCACTTTTACCGCAAGAGGCAAACTATTCTCTTCTGGGAGCTTGCCCACGGCTCTAATACACTCAAAGCCTCATTGTTTATGTATTGATTTAAAGCTCTGTTCAAGCTCTACTTTCCACTTTTTGAATTATGAAAAATTTAAGTCTTGAGGATGGTTATGGTAGTTTTACCGCGCAAGGCATTCTCCTCTCTTTTTAGAGCCTGCCGCCTGGCGGCCCCTAACTTCTATAGATTCAAAGCCGGATTCATTTGAAAACTGAATTTTAAAATGTTATTCAATTTAAAGCTCTTTTCAAGTTCTACATTTCCTTTTTTGAATTTTTTGAAAATTCAAATTTTTAAGAAAGTTATGATACTTTTACCGCAAGAGGCTCTTCTGGGAGCTTGTCGACGCCCCCTAATAGATTTAAATTCGTATTTCCCCATATTCAAAAACCCGAATTGTTTTATGTTTTGTATACCTTTAAAGCTCTATTTAAGTTCTACATACTCCCCTTTGAATATTTTGAAACTTTAAATTTCGAAGAAAGTTACAATCATTGGAATTCCAGGTAATCATGGCACGCCGCCGAAAGATGTCATCGACTTCTCCTCAAGTGGATCATCGGATCTTTTCCATCTATTCCTTAACCATTTCATTCGTCTACATGCTCCGTATCGCTTTTGAACTGGTCGCACAGAAAACTCAGGAGAATGATATTCAGTGGCAAGGTGAGCTTTTAGCTAGGCTAAGTGGAGGGCCTACCTATTTAAAATCCACTTTTTTAATGATAGAATAATCTTACTTAACTGAAATTTATATCACTTTAAAGCTCTTTTCAAACTCTACAATTTCCTCTTTGATTTAAAAAAAATTCCAATTTCGAGAATAGTTATAGCAGTTTTACGGAGAGGTATTCATTCAATTCATACCTCCTTTTGAGAGATTACCAGTGGCTATGATTGATTCCAAATCTGAGTTATCTAAGATCCTAACGTCAAAACATAGCATGTTTTATATTATGTTGTAGCTCTTCTTAAGCCCTATGACGTCCTTTTTAAATTTTGTGAAAATAATGATTTTCAAAAAAGTTATGACGGTTTTACCAAGCAAGGTCTCCTTCTCCGTCGCCTGCCAAAGGCTCTAACAGCTTTAAAGCTCCATTTTTCAGAAATCCAAAATCAAAAACTTGTTGTATTTCAAATCATTTTGAAGCCCTTGTCAAGTCCTACATTATACTTTTTGAATTTTGAAATTAATTAAATTTTTAAACAAGTTATGGTAGTTTTACGGTGAGTGCCCCTTTTGGGAGCCTGCCGCCGACTTCAATAGCTTCAAAGTTCGATTTCATAAAAATCCTAAATTCAAAGTTTGTTAAATTTTACACCAATTTAAAGCTCTTTTCAAACCCTATAGTTTGCTTTTTCAAATATTTCAAAAATAACAAAAATTTTGACAAAGTTATTGCAGTTTTACGGAGGGATACCTCATACACCTTTTTGAGAGTTTGCCACCTGCTATGATAGGTTTTAATCTCGATTTCCCGTAACATGAAACCTCGAAATTTTTTATATGTTATATCATTATGACGCCCTTTTCAAGTCCTATGTACATTTTCGTTTTTTAACACTGAAAATTCGAATTCTGAAAAAAGTTATGCGCCTTTCAAACTTCCAGTCACCGAATGCCTTTTCGTCGTCTTTGGTGTCCTCATCTCGATTGCTCTTCATAATGCATATGATACGGTAGATCACATTTTTTCAGAGAATAGTAGAAAATTCCCTTTTCAGCGAATCTCGTTAATTTCAATTTCCTGGACCATTTGGATGTTCATCAACACCATTTTCGCATTATTTGTGGTTAACTCGGATATCATTCAGGTAATTAATTGGTTAATTGCCACCTAATTAATTAATTTCAGCTTGTCATTAAGCGAATCCAAACTCACATTGTGTTCAGTGCTGTGGATGTTGTCAAATTCATCCTAGACATCATTCATTTCTTCAATATTCCGATTTCGGTGAATTTTCAGAAAAATCGATTATCGATTTTATTTTTCTATTTTTCAGCTCTACTTCATTTGCGTCTTTCTGGTCTCCTCGAAAACCCATAAACGCCGCCGGACCACCTCCCGCAAGAATAAGGCTGTTCCTGCTGGTAGGATTTTTGAAATGTTGAAAAAATTTATTTTTCAAGAAAGTCAATTTCCAGACAAGAACATCATCAAGAAGCAATTCGAGGTGTCCAATGTGTTCGTCGGAGATGAGATGGTCTATTATGTCTGAAATGTTTTATCTCTGTTTTTTTTTGTGAAAAATTGCTATTTCAAACTCCTAATAATTCAAGAAACCTGTACATTTTTTAAAATCAATAAACTTTTTCTTTGATATATAACAGTGCGAAAATTTTTGAAAAAAATTGAAAAATCCTAAAAAATAAAGTTCTATGAGTTGACCTACTTTTCCCGAAAATAATGCACATCTAAAAAAATATTCACGTGGAAAAAAGGAAATTATACGTGACCTTTGTCCACGTTCCCTTGTTCCACGTGTCCCCCTACCTCCCTCTGTCGTCCAGCCACGTGCTGCCACGTGGCTCATCGCCTTCCCCCTCTCTATCTCTCCGTTTGACTCTCCGAGAGAATAAATTCAGTCTCAATTTGAGTCGTGCAGAGTTTTCTGATAAAAAAGTCACTCATCGCATATCAAATCTCATCGAGCCCACAGATTCCAGGGAGAATGATACCAAAAAGTGAGTGGAATTTAAAGAGGAAATAAATCTTAATATTCTGTATTTTCAGTATCCCTCTGTGTGGTCTCTATTCTGACTTCGATCGTAGCTGGCTACGTCCTCTACGACAATGAACAACACCAACGCATCTATCGAGGAGCACCCAACGGTTAGTTTGGATTTATCAAAGACCCATTCCCGGGGTAATTAAGCCATGACTTGTCCTTGACTATAAGAAAAAAGGGGCGGAGATTTCCAAGAGAAAATTTATTACCCTAAAACCTGTATTAGAAGGGCCCCCCTGTAATAGAAGTGCCCCCATAATAGAAGGGTTCTCCGGAGGCACCTTAGATAAATAGAAGAGTCGGCCCTTCTTCGAGGTTTTACGTTAAGCTAGAGGCACTTCTACGGACACATAATTAGCTGAAAAAATTTGAGTGCCCCCCCTCTCCAGCTACCTTAGCGCTAGTCTGATTTTCAGAAAAGAAATGGATTCAAAAATCAAATGAAATTGTTTTGCAGGTGCCTTCGAAATAATGGTGGATAAAATGGAGAAGGCTTCTCGAGTCATCAACGGGATTTCCATTCAACAGAGTCTCATTGATGGAAGCATTTCCCCTGATGCCCTGATCTCGGAACTATTGAATTTTGGAAACATCACTGCCACTCAACTTCTCACTATCGACACTGGAAATCTGACCCAACTGATCAAGGATATCCAGGAGTTACCCAAAAGCCTTCCCGAGGATCCTTCAATAACAAAGATGGAGAATCGATTGATGTTGATCAGTGAGGTAGTGGAGAAGTCGAATGGTGTAACAGAATTGAAGGCACCGGGAACTGACTATTTGAAAGACGCAACAGATTTCAAAAGTACAACCATCAATTGGACAAATCTGAAAAACCTTGTAAAATATTTCAAGATGTTATCACAAAACATAGCTACCCTCAAAGCTTCAAATCTCGAAGAAAGTCTGATCGGTTCTCAATTCGACGATATGCAGTTTCCTGTAAACTCTATCAAAACGGTTCAAATTGACGACTATCCAAAACAACTGAAGTCTGACGTTCTTCGAAAACTCGAGGAAACTTTTGCTCCACTGACGAGTTTCTTGAGAAGTGTAGAGGTGTTTTCGAAAAATAAGCGTCTCCTGCTGGACAAGTCAACAGATTTCAATACGTCCGAGACACTGTGGAAAACATATGACAGCTGTTGGAACCGTAGCCAACAGTGCAAATTCAAGACGTTCGCAATTCGAGGATCTGAGCCAAATATTCTCGTCCCGAGATCATCGCAGCGGTAATCGAGTACTTATTCATTCATCGGGATTACCCAATGGATTCTCTGATGTTGAACAGATTTTTGAAGATCTGAAGGATCCATGGATTCAAGACGCTGTTGATGGACAATCTGAAGTACTCTCCAAAGCTCTAGACTCGGTTAGAAACATTGGAAAGAAATGTCGAATGGTGGATGGATCCATTCGTTCAAAAGATGCAAGGGATCTGATGAATGAGCTCAACGTGGAAGTTTCGGATCTTGCCGGACTCTCTCAACTCAGTACGATTGCTTCTAAACTCTTGGAAATTTTGAAACCAATGAACGATCTCAATATCGCCCCAGAGGAAGACGGCTTTTTGAAGTTTCACGAAAGCATTGTGGTAGTGTCATCGAAGCTGAATGCAATCGATCGTATCCTGGAAGTGACAGCTTCACTGAGAAAGACAAACAGTTTGGATCAAGTGTTAGCTTTGACGAAAGCTCAAAGCGACGATGATAAATATCCAGGCAAGCTTAAGGAACTGAAAGAGAGCAAGGCGTATCAGGATCTTGTCGTTCTAATGGAATCGCTTGAACCGACTCTTCAGATTCTTGGTGACGATCCATCAATCGCAAAACCAGCTGGAAAAGTTGTGGATAACAATCATGAGGTTTCCACTTTCGTTCGAGATTCCAAAAGGTTCCTTGATCTTCTGAAGAAGCTTCGAAGCATCGAAGAGCTGAAATTAGTTCCTCGAGCTGTTGGTTTGATTCGGAAGCTTCGATCCATCAACATCCAAAACTTTGATCTAGTTGCCACGAGTCTCGTTAAGTTCAAATCCACGTTGGACGATCTTCAGAAGTCTGTGAACGAGTTGAAAGGTGTGAATCCTGATAACAATCCATTGGCGACTCTTCCGAATGCCCAGAAGGATTCATCGAATATTGGCTCATCGACTCGTGTCATGTGGAGCATTCGGATGGCATCTAAAGGTAAACCAACGTTGGATCAGGCTAAAATGGATGTGGTGAGAAGTGAGATGACGAATTTGACTGATCCAGAAGACGTCACGAATTTGAACAAGTTGTTCTCATTGGGACCAATCTTGGATAAGTTCAACAAAGAAGTGAAGGGTGTCGAATCGTCTGCCGTTGACTCTTCCTCTTCTGATCTTGCTTCTCTGGATATGAGTCTTGGTTTGCAGGTCAAAGGAATCTCCATCGACTTCTCTGCTATTTCAAAATCTTTGGATAAGCTGTTGGAGACTTCTCAGAGAAAGGATGAGCTTCTGGAAGTGAAGAAGACTGTAGATTCGTTGGATTCCTTGGGACTCGACTATGCAAAACATCAGACTGCCATCGAAGCGTCGAAATCATCTCTGGAGTCAATGGATTCATTTTTCGCTCAACTGAAGACTGCTCAGGACCTGTCGAAGTTTTATGAGCAGTAAGTCTTTTTTTCTATCTTATACTGTCAATTAATTGTTTTTTTCAGAGCGTGGTTCTTGATTCTTGTGGGAGCTGTCCTTCTTCTTTTCATTCTCGGAATCGGGGCATTTTTTGTGATACGAAGTCGTAAAACGAAAGAGCCACGAGGTGAGTTCAAAGTTTATGAAATAATTATTAAGAAATTGATAATTTCAGAACCCTACCATCTGTTGCAAGCCTTCTTCAACCGATTCCTAGGAATGATTTATCTGAAGATGCGGGAGATTCAAATCATGAAGCTTGGAATGCAGTACACTCAGTCAGCAGCCATCACACGTTATTATATGGGTCTCTACGCACAGGATTCCAAGGAAAACTTTGAAGACATCACCAAATCAGTGAAAGCTGCCACGGCTCGAGGGCGTCATAGGTAGGTTTTTAAAATTCGCGTCAATTTTTGAACCTATATATCTCGGTCCCTTTAAAAGTTATCAAATAGTCGTCAACTGATAAAATGTTACTGATATTATGATACGCATTTTGTTAATTGACAACTTTTTGATAACTTTTACAGAAAGGGAGATATATGAGCTCAAAGTTTAAAGTCTGGGGGTATTGTGTTTATAAGGTGCCCCACTAAAGCTACCGTAGCTAGAGTCACAGTGATTCTAGAACAATAAAATTAAGACTATTTTTCTTGTTACAAGCTTCAAAATGAGTATACTTACTGTAGTTCACAAAAATTTCGGTTTCTCAAAATTTTCCTGTTAGTTTTTAAGCTCATATACCTCGCTTCCTGTAAAATATACCAAAAAGTTGTTAACTGATAAAATGTTTATCATAACATTAGAAATTGTTTATCAGTTGACAACTTTTTGAAATCTCTCACAAAAAGCTAGAAAAGTTTGGCTGAACTAGTGATTTTTCAGGCATCTCGTCGCACTGGGTGACCAAAACCGTGTCTTGCTGAAGGATGGTCAAATGTTCGGTCTACCGAACTACCATGGAAATAGAGTTCCACTGAAGCACGGTCGAGAAGCGGTTGTCTGTCAAACTCCACATCACGACGACAAAATCGACACTCGTGGTGCTTTCTGGTTGGCGATGGCTGAGGCACAGTCCAGATTGGGCATTTGTTTTGGCAAAGTTTCTGGTGGGTTTTTGAGCTTTTTTTATAGGAAAAGATGTAAATTCACATAAAATGAAAATATTTTTAAAAAAATCTAACAATAATTTCTTCGGTGAGAAGAACATTTCAATTTTAGCAAAAACTACAGTAGAGGATCCACCAGTCCAACCGTATTTTCCAACTAACCTTGGAAGTGCTTCGTATTGTGACGGAAAGGTTGTCATCAAGTGTGTGGCACATGAGAAGAAGAATAAATCGGTTGATATGGTAACACTCGAAGTCAAAGTCCAGTAAGACCTTTTTAACCTACATTATCTCAGTTCCTAGAAAAGATATCAAAAAGAGGTCAACTGATAAAATGTTACTGATATTATGATAAAATTTGTCAGTTGACCACTTTTTGATATCTTTTACAGGAATTGAGATAAATAGTTTTGTGTTTCCAGAAACAAAAAAGCGTTCAAATGTCGAATGGCTTTGGTTGAAGGCTGGCCAGAAGACAGATTCCCGGATCCAAGTATGTGTCAAGATCTTGTGGCGCTGTTTGACGATGTGTATGCCAGTCCAGGACCAGTCTTCATCGCTTGTCCAACTGGAACCGGCAAATCGGCAGTTTTCACTCGTAAGTCTCTACAGTAATTTGCAGAAACGGGCCAAAAACGGACCAACGGCGGACTAGCTCATCTGAAAGCCATAGATGCGGTCATTTGAAGAGGCAAGAGACGCAGGCGACGAGACACGCTACGTCTCTGACTGTTAGAACTTCACACAACCATATCTCGGCTACTAGATGAGCTAGGAATCTGGCTTTTTGAACAGAATTGCATTAAATCTCTTTCTATGATTTTCAGTTGCTCTAATGGCCCGTGAGGAGATGTTGGAGAAGCACGGAAAGATTTCGATGGGATCCCTCCTGAATGATCTCAGACAGTATCGTGCGATGGCAATTGAGAACCCCAAACAATACCTTTTGGCATTCATTTTGATTGTCAAAGACGCCGCATGGGTCCGTTTTCTTTTTGAAAGTTAAGCTTTAAAATGAAGTTTGCAGAAAGTCAACGAAGAGCTGTTGGATGCAGAAAGTAAGCGCATGATGCACGAGCTCGACGGATTCCTCAATGACATCATTGAGCATTCGGATGGTCTCGATGAAGTTTTAGAGAAAATGCTTGCCGAGGAAGCAGCAATGCTGAAGGCGCAAGAAGGAAAACCGAAACCGGATCCTAAAGCAGATACTGATGATGGAACGAAGACTGCGATTCCAGAAAGACCCACAAAGAACATATTGACACCTGGAAGAGCAGAATGGACGATGGAGAAGAAGACGATGCGCTTGAAGGACTTGCGTATAAAAATGGAAAATCTCAGAGAGAGGGTGAAGCAGCAGGAGGATTGGTTTAATAAAACTGAAAACGAGCAAAACGCGGGCGCGTATGTTTCTTTTTCTTTTTCATTTTTTAATCTACAATGAAATGGAATTCTATATTGAATCATATTTTAAGGTTACAAGATGTCGAAGATATGGAGAGGGACAAAGAGAAGCTGGCACATTACGATGCCGAGTTGGCGAGATACTACAAAAAGAAAAGGGAGAAAAAGAAGAAGCAGAAGAAGAGAAGGCACAGGTCGAAGATTCCGAGTTCTGATACACCTCTTCCAGCCGATCTGGAAGCGAATCCACCAAAGAAATTAAGAGGAGTCACAACAAAATATCCGGAGCTTGGACTGGAAATAACGATGATTCCTGACTCGGAGATTCCTGTTGACCTGGACATTGATTTCGAGAAAACGGCTATCGATGGTTGAGAGAACTCGAACCTGCTTTTTTTTTCTTTCTTTGAATGACTACTAGCACTCGAATAAAGTTTCAAAACTCGTTGTCTGTGTAAATTGTTTAAATAAAAATGAATTTTCCGAAAGAAGTATAACTTTCTTTAGAATCTGAATTTTTAGAAAATTCGAAAAAGGAAAATGTAGATCTTGAAAAGAGCTTCAAGATGATATAACATGAACAATTGAGCAATCGGGCTTTGAAGGTATTAGAGCAAGCAAGTGCCCTAAATTTCTGCAAATTTTGAAAATATTTTTAAAATTCAAAAATGAAAATGTGGATCTTGAACAGCACTGCAGAGCTTTGGCAAAGTGAATTTTTGAAATTTTTCGCATTTTCGGAGATTCTGAGTTTTTTCGACTTTCTATAATTTTAAATTTTTTTTCTAGAGCAAAAAAAAATTAATGAATAAAATTGAATAAAAACACGGATAAAGTTTTTTTTGTTCGAATTGTTTGAAATTTTCGAAATTATGAGATTTTTAAAATTTCTAACAATTTTGAAAATTAAAAAAACTAAATACATGTTTCCTGAAGTTTTTAGACCTTTCTTTTTAGATGATTTTTCTTCAATTTTCAGTTTAATTTGGAGCTAAATTTCAGTACTGATATATATGCGATTCAGAAATTAAAACTTTATTTTTCACTAGTAATCAGAGATGAGAGGAAGAGATTTACGGAAATTTACGGAAGACGGTTTATTTTCAAAATGAAAAATGTTACCAAAAAGTTGTGAACGGACAAAATGTAGATCTCA